AAGACAATCGGACTCTTACATCACATTTTATAAGAGTTTTATTATTCAAAATTTTGACCCTTTGTGGGGGAGGTACTTGATGTAGTGGACCAATATTATCCATTTTTGCACCTGACCTAGAACTAACGTAAATATTAGGTTTTGCAAAATTGGAACCAAATCGGATTATTGCTTATTTTTCTGTGCATAAAATATATATTTTTTTTGGAAATGTTGACCTTTTGTGGGGGATGTACCAGAAGGAGTGGACCGATATATTCCATCTTAACACCAGACCTTGTGTAATTAGAAATATTGGGATGTGTGAAATTTGCAGACAATCGGTTTCTTACATCAAATTCTATAAGAGTTGTAATTATTAACCAGTAAAGAAAGTCTTAAAGTTGGGCGGGGCCGACTTTATGATACCCTACACCACTTTGCTGATTTAGTAGAGCTGCGCATAACAAATTAAATTTCTATGGGAGAATTCAATCATACACGCTATGATTATAATTATAATTTAAAGTTCAAAGAACTAAATATGCCGAAGCATTTGTATCTTTTAAATTCGGACTTGTATTGCTCATTTGGTTCACAATTAATTTGCAATCGGATAAAAATATATATGGGTGCTATATCCAAATCGGAACCAATCTCGTTAAAATTTGGCAAAGATATTTCTGAGCTGTATTTGATATATTTCCCTGAATATCGTTGTTACGGAGTGCATATTACGGCTGTGGGTAACAAATATGACAAATCGGATAAACAGTATATATGGGAGCTATAGCTATATCTGAACCGATCTTCACATACTAGCTTTTAGACTCAATTCGGTCGTAAGTGCCAAATTTCATCCAATTTGGGCAAATATTAGACGTTTGGTGCACAATCAAAGGTAAATCGGACGAAGTTATATATGGGAGCTATATCCATATCTGAACCGATCTCGATAAAATTTAACAAATGTATTTCTGAGCTGTATTTGATATATTTCCTCAAATATTGTTGTTACAGGGTGAATATAACGGCTGCGGAGCACAAAAATAGAAAATCAGATGAACAATATATATGGGTGCTATAGCTATTTCTGAACCGATTTCGGTCAAATTTGGCATACTTGTTTTTCAGGTCCAATCTGATCGTACGTGCAAAATTCCATACTATTCGGACTGATATTACACGTTTGGTGCACAATAAAAGGCAAATCGGACAAAGATATATATGGGAGCTATATCTAAATTTTGACCGATTATCTCCAATTTCAATGGGGTTCGTCCTTGGGCCAAACAAATGATTTGTGCAAAATTTCATCTGGATAGGACAATAAATGCGAACTGTGCTTTGTTTACAAAAATACATGGACAGACGGACGGACATGCATAAATCGACTCAAAATGTGATTCTATGCAGATCATCAAAAGGAACTATGGGTCTATCTCGTTTCCTTTTGCCTGTTACAAACAAATGCACAAAGTCATAATAGCCTGACCACCTAGTGGTGTAGGGTATAAAAATGTTGACCCTTTGTGCGGGAGGTACTTGATGAAGTGCTCCGATATTATCCATTTTTGCACCTGACCTAGAGCTAACGTAAATATATAGTTTTGCAAATGATTGCTTCTCTTTCTGTGCAGTAAATTATTTTCTTTGAAATGTCGACTTTTTGTGGGGGAGGTACCAGAAGGAATGGAGCTTTATTGCCCATCTCTGAACTAGACCTAAGTTAGGCAAAAATATTACGATGTACCAAGTTTGGACCAATCGCGTGATTACAACGGACAGACAGACAAACGGACTTCGCTAAATCGTCTTAGAATTTTATGCTGATCCAGACTTTGTAGGGTCTATCATGAATATTTCGAGAAGTTACAAACTTAATATTAAAGTTGATATACCCCTCCATAGAATGGAGGAGGGTTTAAAAAAATCCTTTGACAGCGTCACAATGTATATTCATGAATCCACAGGACATAAATAATTTGAAATGACGTTACAGTGTAATAATTGTACGTTCTGGACTAACTTCGATAACTTGGTACATCGTAATATTATTGTGGAATTTATTACCAAAAAAATGAATTTCCTCTCTGAAACAAACCTCCACACAAAAGGGTTAATCATTTAAGCGTGGAAACTTATCCTTTTGTCTGAGCGATATGGGATGGCTAAAACAATGTAAACAAAACACTTGAAAGCTATTGTATTTCCAATTTCATTATTATAATTATATTGGTGTGTTCTTGTTGTTTGCGGCTGATTCTCAGTAAATACTTTCAAAAATATATAATTTATTTGATATGAAATGGTTTTTATTGATGAGTTTTTGTATCATCATCAGCGGCGTCATCATCCTCATCCCTCCGTCGTCATGGTGTGAGTAGGTGTGTAATTGTTTTATTTATAGAACATCTATCTATTCATCAATCCATCCATCTATCCCTTCACACACACTCACACACACAATTCTTCTACATACATATGTATATCTAGTAAATTGTTTAATGACTTTAGTTTGTAAATATTAGTGCAGTCTTTTGTTTACTCCTTCATTTATTTATGGGAATAGCAACAACATCATCAACAACAACGACAACAACAACTAAAGCAGAAATCCATTATGAAAGATGACTAAAAGAATGTCTCCATTATTAATAGATGGATAGATACATACATACTAGTATATGTTTGTATCTTTCCGTTAATAAAACACTATTAAAATGTCAGACAGTTAATGAAAATGAGAAATAGTAATGATGTCCTTTTTACACAGCACGAGTATCTTGCCCAGTATGAATTCCTAGGTGGGGGGGGCTTATAAAAAGTGGGGGGTTCAACATTTCTTATATAAGAAATTTTGATGTTCAATGTGTGAAAGTATGTAACAAAAATTTGTGGTAGTTGGATGAACTCTGGTATTGCCCTTGTCAAAAAAAATGCCAAGAGCCCTATTTTGCCCAAACACGTGACTATTTCTGGACTCATTGATTGCTTTTGCAATGCTTCTGGCTGATCTCCACTTCAAAATCTACAATTCTTCTTATTGAGTCAAAAATGCAAAGACAATCGGTAAAAGTCCACTCTTTATATAGTTTATAAAGTATAGCGCATGGTAGAATTAAGAAGGTAAAGTCATACAATCATATGAGTATTCTTCAAAATTATTCATTTGACAACATCTCATTGTCAAAATGTATAAATCCATCGTACATTCATATATCCCAAATGGCGACCTGCTTTCTATGCAGTGAAATTTCACAAGGTAAATTATATAAAATGCAGAGATGCTTATTTGAAATGACTTTACCTTCTTAATTTTACCATGGTACAGCGTTACTTTTAAATTTGATTAATTATAACCATATGGCTAGAGAGGGTATATATCATTTGATACGTGCGTAATCGACCCTAGGTCTCTTTAGACAAAAACCGTTTCAGGGCATTTGGAATCGATCTAGCTATGTCCGTCAGTCTGGCTGGGAGTATCCGATGTAGTCCAAACTTGGTACATCGTAATATTATTAATAAACTTAGAACGAGTTCGGAGATGGGCAATATATGTCCACTCCTTCTGCTACCTCTCCCACAAAATGTCAAAATTTTGAAAAATTATAACTCTTATAAAATCTGTCGTAATAGTCCGATTATCTTAAAATTACACACATTACAATTTTTTAATTTACCCAAGGTCTGGTGGGAAGATGGGATATATCGGTCCACTCCATTTGGCACCTCCCCCACAAAGGGTCAACATTTTGAATATCTATGAAGCTCATAAGAAATTAACATCCCATTCCATTCAGGCTTGACACATCTCAAGATTTCTACCAACACAAGATCTATTATAAAGATGGTAGAGATCGGACCATTCCTTCTGGTACCTCCCCCACAAAGGGTCAAAGTTTCGAATAATCAAAACGATCATAAAATCCTAAATATGCCTCCGGTTTCCCTCATATTTCACACATCCCATTATTTCTACTAACACAAGATCTGCAGTGAATATGGAATATATTGGGCCACTCCTTCTGGTGCCTCGACCACAAAGGGTCAAAAATTTGATAAGACGCAAAATTAACATCCGATTCCATTCACAATTGACAAATCTCAATATTTTTACTAACGCAAGACCTGTTATAAAGATGGTAAAGATCGGACATTTCTTCTGATACCTCCCCGAAAAGGACCAAAGTTTCGAATAACAAAAACAATCATAAAATCCGAAATAAGCATCCGTTTCTCTTTTTATTTCACACAAACCATTATTATTACTAACACAATAACTGCTGTTAACGTATCGAAAATGTGTGGATGTATCGGCGCACTCTTTTTGGTACTTCCCCCACAAAGGATTCAACATTTTGAAAACCAGAATGATCATAGAACGAGAAATAAGCATGTGATTTCTTTATATTTGGCTGGAAAACCACTAGTGTCTATCGCATTTAAATGTGAATAAATCTATTGTGTCTCGTACCATCGCTCGTTACCGAGATACTGATAGCGTAGTCCGACGTCAAGGAAGCTGACGGAAGAAAACAGCAACATCAGCAGAAATGCTTCGAAAAGTAAAGAAGCGACCATTCGACAAATGAAACCCGAGTACTACCGCGAAAAAATTCTAGAGGGTGTATTAAAGCCTTGGGCAACATTCGGGCAGCGTGTGACGGTTTCATTTGCCGTTTGAAGGCCATAATTCGTGCCAAAGGTGACCAATTCGAACAAATATAAACATATTCTAAAATTTGATGCTATTTCCGACATTTATTGCCTTCATTCAATAAAATTTTAAAAAATGAAAAAATTATGGCGTTTGACTTTGTTGCAGTATTTTATCTCACCCTGTATGTACCAACATAGGAATTAGAAAATATCACCAATTGCGCTGTAATTTCCCGTAGTAAATGCAATTTCACTTTAACCCATAATTCATTACAAATCGCTTTTAATGGAAATCATACATACATACATGCATACATACATACCGACACAGATACAAACATATTTAAAATACAAACCTATTTTGTCCACAGCAATTATAAAATACGGGAAATTGCAATACAAAAGATGTCGGCCTCTCTTTGCTCCATTGCCGTTCTTCCTTTAGCACTTGGTTGTCGTCGTTTCTGTCGCTTTGTTTTCGGTGGTGACACAGTCAGAAGCAAATATCATTTTTTTCATTTTCTTTTTCACTGTTGCTCTGTTCACTGATGAAAATGGTGGCAATAAATTTTACGGCAACGAAGACCAGTTTTACATTGAGCCTTTCACGCGCGTTAAACGCATGAAATTCTCTTTTGATCACCCTTCGAAACGCAAGATGTGTTTACATTAATGGTTTTAACGCGCGTTTATAATTTGGAAGATTTGACATTTACTTATTTATTTCTCTTTGCAATTCATTCATAACAAGTATTTTTATAAACAAGGATGGATAACTTAGAAAAAGAAGAATTGATTGAGGAAATATTAGATTTAACAGAATTTGCTGTGGACCATTTAGATATGGATGATCGGGAAAATTTGGAAATTATCCTTACATTATTGGATTTCTATGAGGAAGCCGAAAACATGCCTAACAAAAGAAGAAGAAGGGAATGGGTGAAACCATGGCGGAATGAGCGGGAAAATATGGGGTCGTTTCCTTTTCTTATGAAAGAACTTGGCAATGATGAATTGTCTTTCTATCAGTACATCCGGATGGACTGTGAAACTTTTAACTACATCCTACAGACTATAGAAGGCAGCATAAGAAAACAGGATACATTGTTAAGAAAATCTATATCTCCTGCAGAAAAATTAGCAGCAACACTTCGATATCTTGCTACAGGAGAATCTTACAGGAGTACCAATTTCCAAACAAGATTATCAGAATCTTTTCATTCCGCTGCAGTCCCTGAAGTTTGTGAAGCTATTTGGAGTTGTTTCAAAGACAAATATTTAAAGGTTTTTATTTTGGTTTAGTTTTGTGTTACAATTTTTTTTATTCACTTAAATTTTGAAATTGTATATAATATTAAAACTTAAAATAATTGTTGCATTGTTTCATCATCAAACAGTCGATCTATAGACAGTTGTAATATGTCTGGGGTTCTGGGCATTGGGTTGGAAGTAGTACTTGTGGAGTCTAATTCTTCTACATGTGAAGAGCATGCTGAATAGTCTTCTGAATTGGCGTCATCACTCTTCTCATCCTCCATTATTCCTTCTCTTAGCGCATCTTGGATTTTCCATATTGTCCTTTGCTGATTTTTTTTCGTTTTTGATGTAGTTCAGCTGCGCCACTACTTCCTTGCCGAGCCAGTCAAATTTTGGTTCATTATCCAATTTCCTAAATATTTTTTCGTTATCAACAACTCCACTAACTCCTGGGTCTACATTAATTTATTAATTTTTTTTAAACCACACACCTAAGGAATTAAAATTATAATCACAATTATACAATTTTTTCTGAATAAATCAAAACTCACCTGTTCGCCCGCCATTGTCTGTAATTTGTCTGTTGAAAAACGAAAACATATGAAGCAACACATAAATAACACGAAACACAAGAAAGAGAAATGTCAAAAGTTCCCCCTCAAACTTTCGATCGAGCCTGCTGGTCTACCCCGCAAGCACCTTACATCCTCTTACCCTCAACCTTAGAAACGCAAAGCGTGGGCACGCGCGTTAAAACGCTTAATGTAAAGTGCCTCGAAGTCTACTGCTTCGATAGCTTTACACACCACACGTCCTGACAATAACGAACGGATGCTTCATACACGTCTGTTTGTCTATTCGGCAAATGCGCGACGGCGAGTTATTAATAATCCGTAATTTGTGAAATTCCAATATTGTTTCATGTCGATTTAATAGCATTTAATAGAATTCTTTTTATATTTTTCCGAAGCAAACACCACGTCGTCGCATAGCGTGTTTACACAGGAGGAAGTCGGGTGGTGGCGTGTACATGTTGATGAAAATACCGGCATTAACAACTACAAAGTGAGGTAGTCCAATACAACACACAACAAAGACGTTTACAACTTGATTGGCTCCAATGTATGGGTTAGTTTACGAGCGTGTTTCTGTCAAGGGGAGGGAGGAGATCACGAAACGTCAATATAATACAACAACACAAAATATAACAACCACAATTGTATGCGAATCCACGGGCGGCCAAAAGGACACAATAGTTGTGCTAATGTTTTTGAATGTGGTGCTTTCTTCTTTGCCGTTTCACTTAAGAATGTCATGCAAAGTTGACGCTACAGAATTTGACGAAGAAACATTCAAAAGAGAGAGAGAGACCGTATACAGTGCTGTTAACTTTGCGGTTTTTTTGCCTAAAGAATAATTTAATAGAATTTTTATTTTTTTATCCTATGGAAGATTAATTTTGCCATTTTGCTTGTAACTCATCGAAATAATTACTCTATACTCGACAGAAAAATTCTAACTTGATTTAGAAGTGTCCATCCGTCCGTCCTTCTGTTATAATCACACTAGAGTCCAAACGAATAGTAATTGGAAGTCAAGATTTTGCTATGCGCAGCAGACAGACCAAATTCGAAGATTTGCTATATCGGTCCACGATTTGAGCAAATTTAAGAGATATATTTAGTTATAGCCACAACAAATACTGCTTTAGCAAAAATATTTGGATGTTGGGGGGTACCAGCAAAAGTGGTTGGATCTCTATTATCATTACAACAGATATGTGTTAATAGATATATTGAGGTGTACCAAGTCTGAATGGATTTGGATGTTAATTTTTATGAGCTTCATGAATAATTAAAATGTTGACCCTTTGTGGTGAAGGTACCAGAAGGAGTGGGCCAATATATCCCAGACCTTGGCTTAATAAAAATATTGTGAAGGGTGTAGTTTAAACAGAACGGGATGCATATTTCGGGTTTTATGATCGTTTTTGTTATCCAAACTTTGACCCTTAGTGTGGGAGGTACCAGAAAGAATGGTCCGATCTCTACCATCTTTAGAACACATCTTGTGTTGATAGAAACATTAAGATGTGCCAAGTCTGAATGGAATCGGATGTTAATTTCGTCTTTTATAAGCTTCATGAATATTCAAAATATTTACCCTTTGTGGGGGAGAGGTACCGGAAGGAGTGGACCGATATATTTCATCTTCACATCAGACCTTGTGTAAATAAAAATATTGTGATGTCTGTAATTTGAAGACAATCGGAGACTTACATCACATTTTATAAGAGTTATAATTATTCAAAATGTTGACCCTTTGTGGGGGAGGTACTGGATGGAGTGAACCGATATTGTCCTGCTGTAGCACTGATGGAAACATTAGGATTTGCAACATTGAAGCAAAATCGAATTAATCTTTCTCCTTCTGTGCAGTAGATTATTTTCTTTGTTGACATTTTGTGGGGAAGGTATCAGAAGGAGTGAACTGATGTTGACCATCTCCGAACTCGATCTAAGTTTGACAATAATGCTACGATGTACCAAGTCTGGATCAAATCGGATACTTTCTTCGAGAGTTATCGTGCGCACCAGCCAGACAGACAAACTGACGGACGGACGGACATCGGTATATCGACTCCAAATGTCCTGAAACGATGTACCAAGTTTAAATTAAATCGAATACTCCCTTCGAGAGTTATCGTGCGCACCAGCCAGACAGACAGACAAACGGATGGACATCGCTAGAGCGACTTCAAATGTCCTGAAACGGATTTGGTCCAAATAGACCTAGGGTCTAGGACCGTTATTTCGATGAGGCACGTTTTGACCTATCAAATGATATATACCCTCTTTACCCATATGGCTGAGGGTATAGTGAGTACTTATCCCTCTGGCAGAAAATTATCCTATAGGTCGATTTGATCGTATATTCCCCATTTAAAGGTACCTCCTAATATTCACAAGTTTCTAATGGGATCCAATCCTTTCGAAATAACGGTACTTCCCAATATTCGCTATTTTTATTATTTTATTCTGGCTTTTCATTGAAACCGTTTGTAATGGGTTCGTAATAATGGCCAACGGGCACGAGTTGATAGGTTTTCATTTCGATTACTAGACGTAGTATGGCCTCGTGCTTGAAAAACGTATTCAAAAATTATGGTTACGCTAAAGGTGGGAATGCATAAAGTTCTTATTTGGCTGGTTTAAGTCATCGACTGGTTTCTTCGGAAATGAACAAAGGAGCATAGGGCCATTTCCAAACTAAGTCAACCAAAAACTACTTTGTTCCTCTACGAAGATGCCAGCCGATGACTTAAGCCAGCCAAATATGCGCTTTATGTATTCCCATCCTAAGGACATTGAATAAATTGCATGTGGCCTACGACAATTATTTCGAGTGGTTGGCAGCGTTTGTTTTTCAAAAACTCTGCAATGACAACACTGACATCATGCGTGTTCAGAGACATATCCGCGAGAGAGAGAGAGCTTTTGATGTCAAAGGCGCGCGTAAGATTAAGAAATTCATAAATATAATTTTCAAAAACAGCTGCTACAACTATGGGGAATATACAACCGCTCGCTCACTTACACATGCACACACACACAAATACACACCCATACACAGACCGATTAAACAGTATGAAAGATACATGCATACAATTTTACAAGACTGCCGAGTCGAGTGAGTCTTTGTGTGTGGCTGTGTATCCCTGAATGTGTGTTAAAAGGATATGCACATACTTATGCATAGCTACATACCTACACGAATATACATACATATGTCCTTAACACCCTAAAAATGTGCTACAATACTGAACAGGTCGCAACCTTATTGTGTGGAAGAAACCCTGCAAAAATGGAACGACAACTCCAAACATGATGGTCAGTGTCCATTAAAGTTTTTTAAGGTTAGGGTTTCGACATTAAAAATCCTGTTAATAATGAGCATCAATACAAATACTCGCTCGCACACACACACAAACACACGCAAGCACATACACATTCGCCATGTAAAACACCCAAAAATTCTCTAAGATTGAAGCGCAAGAATTTTTTTCTTGATTATTCTTCCAACACTTTTTCATTTGTGTTTTAACATTTTTCACATAAAAAACTGAATTTTTCACTTGGATTTTCTTTAGCTCTCTTATCACGCGTGTAAAATTTGATATTTTTTCTTATAATTATTATGTTGGGGAAAATATTTTCCACTTTTTTACAGAGGTATATAATTTTTTCCTTTTTTTCTTTACTTTATATCCTTTTGCACTTCATTCGATAGTTTACTCGACTTTCACTGTCGTTCCTTACTTCACGCTTTACTGATAGCCACTAACCACCATATTGTGGTATATCCTCTTTTCAACTGACAGCTGCACACCGAACGACTTGGTTTAAACTTCCGCGTTGAATGAGGCATCAGTGAAGCTTACGTTGACAGAGCTTTTCCGATACAGAGTTGTATTGCATGGATGTGGACATTTGGTACAGTGTTTTTTAGAAAGTATCTGCAGATTTGACGATAAAAAATATACCCTCAGTCTATGACTACTCAAACACACATACAAACTACAAACTACATGGTGCAAAAGGGAAGTAGAACAGTCCAGAGGCTATACCCGCTTTATTTTTGAATTTTTCTAAATTACATGCAACAAGTTATTCGTATTTATTTATGATATTTATACCCATATGACTAGAGACGGTATATATCATTTAATACGGTCAAAACGTGCCTCATCGAAATAACGGTTTTAGGTCTAGGTCTGTTTCGACCAAATCCGTTTCAGGACATTTAGAGTCGATTCAGCGATGTCCGTCCGTCTGTCTGGCTGGCTAGTGCGCACGATAACTCTCGAAGGGAGTATCCGATTTTATCCAAACTTGGTACATCGTAATATTACTATCAAACTTAGATCTCGGAGATGGGTAATGTCTGTCCACTCCTTCTGGTACCTCTCACACAAAAGGTCAACATTTTCAGAGAAAATAATTGACTGCACAAAGAGAGAAAGATGTCCGATTTTGCTCCGACTTTGCAAATCCTAATATTTGCATCAGTGCTAGGTTAGTTGTGAAAATGTACATTCTCCACAAAGGGTCATAATTTTGAATAATTATTACTCTTATAAAATTTGATGTAAGAGTCTGATTGTCTTCAAATTAAAAAACTCACAATATTTTTTATTAAACCAAGGCCTGATGTGAAGATAAAGTATATCGGTCGATTCCTTCTAGTACCTCCCCCACAAAGAGTCAAAATTTTGAATATTCATGAAGCCATTAAATACGAAATTATGCAATGATCCCATTCAAACTTGGCACATCTCAATACATCCATAAACACAAGATATGTTATAAAGATGGTAGATATCGGACCATTTCTTCTGGTACCTCCCCCACAAGGGATTCAAGATTTTGATTTGTTCGAATTGGTCACCTTTGGCACGAATTATGGCCTTTAAACGGTCAATGAAACCGTCACACGCGGCCCGAATGTTGCTCTGCGGTATTTTGGTCCATTCCCGGCAAAGCGTTTGCTTGAGGTGATCGACACTTTGGTATTTTCTTAGTGCCAACCTTGCTTTCCAAAATATTCCACACACAATAGTCCAACGGATTGGGATCCGGAGATTTTGGTGGCCATTGTGCGCTGGAAATGAAGAGAGGAAGCCCATTTTGTAACCATTCTTGGGTGGCGCGTGCTGAGTGCGATGGTGCTGAATCCTGTTGGAATGTCCAAGGTCTGCGGCCAAAATGTTTGCGTGCCTAAGGCTTTAATACACCCTCCACAATACTTTCGCCACAATATTCGGCATTTATTCTGATGCCACGGTTGATTAATACGAGCGGAAAGCGGCCATGGCCTATTATGGCGGCCCACACCATCACCATTGCCGGCGCTTGAGTTCTGGTGGCCAACAGAAAGTGCACATTTTCAGCTGACCTCTTTGGCAAGTAACAAATGCTGGGCAACGAATGTTTTCTCATCGAAGACGGAGAAAAACAAATTCGGCAGTTCACCACTTTCGGCCAAGCGAAGCAATTCTTCACCTCTTTTGAGTCTATTTTTTCTAAAGCGGTGTAAGTTCTTGCACTTTTTGAAATTTCAATGGTTTTACCACGAGCTCATTTTTCAATATTTGCCGAATGGAATGTTGCGATATGTTCAGGTAACGAGGCATTTTTCGGCCGCTGCGACGCGGGTTTCGATCAAGTCGCTTCTTTACTTTTCGAACCATTTCTGCGCTGATTTTGCTGTTTCCCCCGTCCACTTCTTTGACGTCGGGCTACGCTACCACCACCACGGTAACGAGCGATAGTACGAGACACAAAAGATTTATTCACATTTAAATGCTGTAGTTCTCTAACGATAGCCACTTCTGGTTTTCCAGCCAAATATAAAGAAATCAGACTATCGCGCTTGAATTCCATCACGAATAACTTTTTTTCTGGAAAATTCTCACCAAAATGATTTTGTATGCTCTTAAACAATATGATGAGCTGTCACTGGAATAATATTAACAGCTGTTGGATGAGTTGCTTAGAAATGACAGCAGTCTGAAGTTGGTTGAAATTTTTTCTTCTCACCCTGTATTTGTAAAACTTCTTTTACTTTTCGCTCAAGCCCCCATCAAAAAACTCATTACAATTTGGATTACTAACCTATTATTTTAACATGAGGTCTACCCTTAAAATTCACACGAGTAGGTCGAGAAGTAATAAGCTATTCTTTGGCTACTACAAAATATAACTACTTATTTGTCGACTTTTTTGTGATCAAGAAATAACAAGTTAAAAGCTAGCGACATGCCCATGTAAAAATAATTGATTAATAATCCTCCTTTGTAAAATATAAATTAGCCAAAAACAGTGTTTTGTACATTTTATTTATTTAGAATAACTACTTACATCTTTACAATTTGAGAATATTTCTTACATACAGTTGGGTTGAAAGTGTTTTGGAAACAAGACTCGAATGAGAAACTAAAGAAAAATAACAACTATATTTGCACCCAACAATAGATGCAACGAATAGTTAAGCAATTATGCAAACCCCCCGATTTGATTTGTTGACTATGCTACGATATATGCAAAATGCACTTACCTCTCTGTAGAGTAGCATTAATTTTTAATGTTGAACAATAGTATTTCGTCGTTTTTTTAATAGTTTAGATCACAATTTGTTTATCGTTTACAAGAATACTTATGGTTGCGTTTCATTCAACTTCAGCTTTTTCCACTTTTTCCTTTTTTGTTTTCAACTAAATACTAAATAAATTTCTTTAAAATTTCCATTTGTTATCATCAAAACGTTGGATGTGTACGTATGAAGTATGTATCGTACTCTTTTTCTATCCACTTGATTAACTTGTCCACATCTTTGGTGACGGAACTTTTCTGTGTTAGCGGATCAAAGACAACGAATAACTCATAGTATTCCGTAGACCAAGCCAATGCCACTTCATTGCTTCTAGTCTCCAGTATCAGTTTGAGGGGGCGTTTACTGTTACGTATGCGTTCCAATAGATCACAGTACAAAGATTCTAAACGTTCGAAGTCCAACAGATTCGTATAGGGAGCAACAATTTCTGAGCAAAGAATCTGGGCTGCCGATTTGGGTTTGTACAAGAAATGCCTCAATTCGGGAATACCAATCGAGTTTAGTTGTTGTTTTCCTCTCGTGGTCTGCATTACAGCTTCATTGATTGCTTCAATACATTGTGAACGTTTGAGTTTTTCAGTTATCGCCTGCTTGGCCTCGGACAAAACAAAAAATGCATCACGATCCACGGAAAGCAGCAGAAGACAAGCTGGCGAGTTTTCTTCTAAATAGGAGACGTGTGCATGCAAATAGCCATTCATATCGAACTTGGGCAAACAGATGGGTGTCCAATTCTCTGAAGGTTTAAATGATTCCGAGCATTCAATTAAATTTACAATCAGCCTGGAATAGAAATAAATTTTGAATAAAGCAACCGGGAGAAATATTTGAGGGAAACGTACCTTAAATCCGCCGGATGTATTGAATATTTCTTCATTTGAACTAAGGATACTAATCTATTCTGAGCTAGCAATATAGCAAATACTAAATTTTTAATTTTAGAACAATTTTCTTTGATAGCCTGTGATATGGAGGTCCTTACCGAGGACTGTAGCGGCAAAATTCGTATTGAATTGGTGAGAAATGCAAACACATTATTCGAAATCTTTTTGCCACTACTATCGTTGAGAAGCAAATTGTTGATTAGTCGCTCACTGCCCTCGAGCAGGCGTCGCAAGTCGAAATTTTTACGTTGATTGAAGATTTTCGTCAATTGGCTATAAGTGAGTGTGGATATTATTTGATTGTGAGCATCGCTGGAAAGATATGCAAAAGTTAGTGGTCGGCTGTGATGGAAATCACATGGGTTCTATGACTGTCGGTTGAACTTACTTTAACTGCATTTGCAATTGGGCAACACTTAAATGTGTCCTTGATGCCGCCACAAAAATCAAATTGCTCTTGACCATAAACACAAATTGTATGCCCCTGGCTTTTATTGATGTTATGACATCTTGGCTATTCTCAACGAAACTAACCAAGGCCTGTATTATACCAAATAATATGGCTAACTTATCCTCGTTTCCATGCAATGAGTATATGGGTTTTCCAGCCTCACTCAGAATGAAAATATGCTTCTTTTGGCCCTTCCATGTGGGATCGTGTGACATAATGTTCACCTCTGTGTCCACACTTTCATGTAGGTCCAAGGCTTTTGCCAGGGGTCTGGACGATGATGCTGTTGTTGCACTTTGTGGTTTATCGACCGATGCCTCCTCATCCGTTAGTGTTGTTGCTGTCATCGTCTTGCAAACGCTGGCCATTGGCATGAAATGTGTTCCATCATCGTCTGCAGTTAAATTTTTCGTCGTTTCATGTCCATTGAAATTATCTGTAACTGTAGTGCTGCAACTGACTTCAGCTTGATCTGAATCTGCTTCATTTTCAGCATCAAAATAGATCGTGGAATTGGTGGAATTTGATGAGGCTGTTGGCGGATCCCAATTAACTTCAGACATTTCAGGCCTTTTCTTAATTTCGAGGTGGAATTGTTAGTATTGCCCTACATCAAACCACTAATTTTTAAGTTTTAGTCTTCACTAGTTTCCCTAAAATCCAATTGTTTCAATTGTCACGACTGACCAAAACAAGACTTGACCAGCCAGCCTTGCAGTTCTTCTCCGAATAACCGTAACACAATAAACCAAGTAACCAACTCAACACATAGAAAAATTGGTTATAGCTATGGTACAATAAGAAGGTATGCTAGAGCCATCAACTGATTACAAATTTTTTCTGAGTGAATCCAACATCTGCCAATTTTGTGTATTTTGTATACATTATTATTATATTAAATTGCAGGTGTTATATATACAATTTATACATCATTTTAAATATTTACAGAACAAGAATTGCGACTAAAAAACATATAGAAAATATACTTATTTTTGATAAAACATTTAAAAATTTTTGACATACCAAAGTTCCCAAGCGTTGATGCATCTACCTATATTCTTCTACCATGGCATGAACCGAGAAAGCTTCATGCACTCGTACACGATTTTGATGTCATGCATTTTGATCGTCTACGAGCACTTAACGTGACTACCGTAAAACGGAGCAGAAATGTTATCGATTTCCCGACCATATCGATTTCTTACTTAAAATTAAACAGCAATCGGAATTCTTACCTCTCTAGATTGAATAATACAAAAGAACGAGGGTCTGGTTTCCGTGAAAAGTGTCAAAATGTTGATGAATTGTTTGAAAAATGGTATGACATGAATAAAATAGTATTCCAAATAATGTTACTAACAAAATATATTATCTTTTTAGGCAGACTGGCCCTTTTGAGACAGATCCGCACGCAATCAACTGCGGCTGCGACCGCAACTACTGTGAACGCTGCCAACGAACCCGAAGAAATTTCCGTCATTGAACAACGTATTTTGGAACACCCCGATTACTTTCAGGTGCACAATTTATTTACAGTTCGGGATCTGTTCAATGCCCGTGTACACTATGGCCACAAGGAAGGCTCACTGGATGATCGCATGCGACCTTATATCTACGGCAGCCGTTTGGGACACCTAATATTCGATTTGGATAAAACAGCGGCTCACTTGAGAGATGCTCTGAACTTTACAGCGCATATTGCTTTCCGTGATGGCATTATCTGTTTCTTCAATCGTAATGCACTGAATGCCCACCTGGTTGAGAAGAAGGCAATGGAGGCTGGAGAGTTTTCACATACAAGATTTTGGCGCGGTGGTATCTTCACCAATTCCAACGTACAATTTGGTGCAGTGACTCGCCTACCAGATCTATGCATATTTCTGAATACGCAAAATAATGTTCTAAGCCAACATACGGCTGTGAGAGATTGTGCAAAAATGGCCATTCCAACTGTAGGCATTGTGGACACAAATTGCAATCCAAATTTGATTACTTATCCTGTGCCCGGTAATGATGATTCCCCCGCATCTGTGGAACTCTATTGTGAACTCTTTAAGTCGGCCATTTTAAGGGGCAAACAAAAAAGACGTGAAGTGTTGGGAGAACCCGAACCGGTAAATAACACTAAAAACTCGAGCAGAAGAAGAAACAAAGTTTCCAATTAATTTTTCTTTATTTGTTAATTCATTCTGAAAATAAAATTGTTTACGTAGATACACGATCGTTAGTTGATGCTACAGAAGTCATTACTCCACCAGAGACGAAATAGGGATATTTTGTTCCACCGCCTAATATTTTTCTTCCCCATGTATTATTAGTTTCAATCTTGCTTTTCGACTCTACCGGCGCGTCACCAATATTTCCGAAATTGCCATAGTTTGCATACGGCACGTGGCTTGCAGTTTCGTTAGGAGCTGATGTGTTTAAAATTGTTGATTTCGTGTGATTCTGACCATACTTTTCTTCAAGCTTCTTCTTGTAAGCAGCCATTTTCTCCCTGGCTGCCTCCAAACGGAGGCGATCTTTTTCTTCTAATTCGCTTGGATCTTTCTTACCCAATCTCTGGACAACACGTTTGGCATTATAAAATTCTCTATTTTTGTATGGCTTGACTGCTTGGTTGTACTCTTTCCACATTTGTTTACGTTCTGAGGGAGAGCTAGCGTTTACATCCGGAGGCTTTGGCAGTGGTATGTAGGGCTTATTTGGTTCATAGCGTGGATTTCGGACGTATACTTCAGGTTCCGTTTTTATATCCGAATCTTCTGTGAAAGCAGTTGATTTTTTCACATCAATTTCCTTCTTTGCAGCCTTGGGTTTATTTTTGCCCGTTGCTGGTGCTGTTACAGCCCTTTGAAGTTCATCAAGTAGCCTCTTAGCTCTAGGATTGTAACGAAACGGATTCATTTGAATAGTTTCTTTAATCATATCTCTTTGTCTAAATAAGGTGTCAGTTTTGAAAAAGGAATCGGATGAATTAGTATTCCTTGGCATGTCGGATCCATTGGGTCTGTTTCCGTTCTGTCTATTGAAACCACCTTGTGCATTAAAACTATTTCCACTGTTTAGAAAATCCCAAGAGTTATTACAGGAAAAATTCATATTCATACCATTGTTAAATTGGCCATTGAAATTGTTTCCTCCATTGAAATTGCCCGAATTAAAATTATTTCCAAATTGGTTGCCATTGAAGTTCGTTGCATTATTCAAACAATTAAAACCGAAGTTGTTTCCATTGAAATTCATTGACCTATTGTAACCATTGTTTCCATTGAAATTTATGCTATCATTGCCAAAATTGTTGTTATTGTTATTGAAATTCATACCACTATTACCAAAATCGAAATTATTATTGAAGTTCATATTCATGTTACTGTTATTTTGAGAATAGTTCCATCGTTTCATATTCATTTGCGGATTATTATTGTTGTACATATTACCAGCAATTAATGGTGGGGGTGGTGGAGGGGCAGAAAGTTTTTTAGATCTAACAGCTTTATTTCTGGTGTTGTCTGGTGGATTGTTCGCTGCGGCTTCCTTCTCTTTTTTCATTTTCCAATCTAGGAAGGACACCTTCGGACCAATATCATCTTCTGCCGCTTCCGAATTAACCTTTTTCCCGGACATATTAACTTTTTATTGGTCTTCCTCTCAAATTGTTTTTTCAGGTGCGTAGGGATCTCCAAGTCGATTTTAGGATGAGTTTAAACGGCTAAGCAATATGTCAATTCTAACAAGGGAACAGTAAATCTACACTTTCCCTAAAACAGAAGCGGGCAAGGTAGAATGAATAAATAAAAGTGTAATAATTAGCCTCGCATTATTTCTCTTAATAATATTTTAAAACTGATTCGACCAAAAGGGAACATGTATTTTTTGGTTTCTTATAAATAAACTTATACTTTCTATTTGGTTTTCATTTGTTACTTCTTTTTTTTTATCGGAAAATGACTTTGTTTTTAAATATTGAGAATTTAACCAAGGTCAATCATCAAGGTCATTTGGGGTGAATTAATTGTACGCATATGCAACGATTTTGGTAGAAGTCTGAAGGTGGAATTATTTCATATAGTTTTCTTTGATATTTAAAAACATATTCAAACTTTGTATTTGTTTTCACTGAATCGGTCACCAAAAAATAAACATATATTTGACATATCTACTTAAAAATCGAAGTTGAGAACAAAAAACGCCAACTTTCCCACCATTTTACAATACTTTGTATGGATGTATTAATCTATGGTAGATTTTTTTCAAAAATATGATCTAAACAGTTTGATCTTTCAATTCTATAGCAAAACTGGCGAATAGTTTTAATGCGCAACCGCACTGCGTGTTTCTTTCAATCATTAATTTTGGAAATATTTTGTTTTTATTTTTCAAAACAATAAATACACAAAATTGGCAGAAGGTGGGCGCATTTTGAAATAAATTGTAATCAGCTGATAGCTCTAACTTATTGTTGTTTTGTCTCTCATCCTAGGTTTGAATTTTGTTCCACAGAAAACTGCAAACAAAAGAGGCAATATTTTCAAGATATCTATATCGGCAGAAAAAATATTTGACAAGTGTCTCTTTAGCAGAATTTAAAAATAGAAAAATACAAAAATATTATTAAAATGTCAACATTTACACAAAAAGTTGAAAACATGAATGAAAATTGTTAAATTAATGATATAATAAGTCTTTGGGAGAAAAACAAGAATTTCTTCTATCATATAAGAGAGAATTGCATGTATTTTCGTATAAATTCCCATTAAAATCAACAAACAAAATTTTTGAAGAAAGGAATTATTTTAGCATGAATTACGAATCGTGCCGTATGAACGAGTTAATTCGTGTACCAAATTCTGAGAGCGAACAACGTGATTAAAAGTGCAATGAGAACATAGCATAATGCTGTTAGACTTATCATGGTAGAAGAATATAGGTAGATGCATCAACGCTTGGGAACACTTTTATGTCAAAATTTTTAAATATTTTATCAAAAATAAGTATATTTTTTAATGTTTTCCTATACGACACAAATCGGTGATTGTTATAATATGAATTTCAATAATTTTTACAAATTTCAATAATTTTTCATTCAACCTTTTTCAATTTCAAAATCGATTTGACATTTCATTGTCCCAGCAGCTGTGTCGATGCGACTACATGTATTCTTCAACCATGTAGACTTATTGTACCTCCTGTTATTGTACTCTGGGTACGATATTTGTTCGGCTCTCCAAAGTATTAATCGATATTGACACAAGAATTGAAATATCGATTCCATCGATAGTTTGTCATCTCTACTTTGGATTGTCTGCGTTCGTCGATTTTTTCTGTTCGCAAGTGAAATTAATTTTGCTAAAAAAATTCTGGTAAGTTTCACGTTAAATTCCAACTTTAATTCTGCTGCCAAACAATGGGCTCGATGTGGAAAACCGAATTATGTATAGAAATTTGTTAGGAATGGTTTGAAAACGCCTGGAGAAGTCTCCGAAAAAATCAGTTGTGTGAGAATTTTGTGAATGATTTTTTTTGGTTAATAGTTCTGTTTGCAGAGCTGCCAGCTGAGCGAGTATGGATGGTATGGTGATTGCTTGTCGTCGGTTGTAAATGTGTTTGTTGCTATTCTCGACAAATGATTCAATTCAATTTTTGTTTTGGAAGGGCGGAAAAGTATGAGGGCGAGGCAAACATAATATGTTGCGTTGTCTTTCTTTTTTCACTTTGCTTATTTGTCTGTCTGTCTGTCTATGATGTTTTCAGTGTGTTCGTCAGACAATTTGGTGGGCAAAGTGTGACGAGGCTAAAAACAATACATATTTAAAAAAGAAAAATAGAAAATTGAATTTACTGCACACAAAAAAGTTAAACAACAACAACAACGAAAGGCAGCATTTTTTGTCGCCGCCCAAATAGCGAGTTGAGGTTGATGGATATTAACTTGGTTCCTTTTAAGGGTTTGCATTGAAATATTTAACTACTAATATTTGTTTTAACAAATTGAATACTAATTTTTATATTTTTTAACCAAGTAGATTGTTAAAGACGGAACATCCATAGAAAAAAGTGCGCAGTTTGCAATATTTTTGTGAGTTATTTTTTCTATTTCCATCTTTGGATATATGTACGTACGTAGTACATACGTATGCAGTGTAGTGTGTTATTCTTGTAAATCGTTTTTCGGCTCTCAAAGATAATTTTCTGCTAAATGCAAAGCGTATTATTGCTGTTTATTTGAAACAAAACGTGTCTAATTTCAGTCAACAGAGCAAGAAGTCTGCACGTTGGAATGAAAATTTTCATTTATTTCATAGATGAAACATGTGAAGATTTCCCGCATAACGGTTATGTTGAATTATGAAAATCCTATTAGAATCTTGACAAAAAACAGAAAGACACATTTCCCCATTGCAATGCAGAAAATTTAATTCTAATTGGAAAATGGTATGAGGTGTTTAAAACCAACAAAGTTGAAGTTGTTTACCCACTGTTTTAGTTCTGTTCTGATGATCTAATTGTAGCTTCTAATTGGAATTGTACGTGAACCACGAATGGGCGGTAAGGAATTTACAATAAAGAAGAAAAAAGGAACGGGAACAATCATCACATGAATTTAGGTATAAATTTTGGAACTAAGATTAATTGTCAAAAAATGGAAAAAGCAAAATTCTCAAAACAAAGTAGTATAATGTGGTCTATACCTCGCATTCGATATCTAACGAATTTCGATCGAAACGAAATTGTGCATGTGCAAAAATTAAAATTTTGATCAGTTTTTGGTGACTCATTTATTTCTACCAATTTATTTAATTTACAGGGTGAGATAAAACAACTGCAGCAAAGACTAAATACATAATTTTGACATTTTTTTTAAATTGTATTGAATGAAAGCAAAAAATGTCGGAAATAGCGTCAAATTTTAGAATGACTTTAGATTTGTTCGAATTGGTCACCTTCAAACGGCCAAAACCGTCACACGCTGCCCGAATGTTGCTCTGCGGTATTTTGGCCCATTCCCGCTTGCTTGAGGTGATCAACACTTTGGTATTTTTTAGTGCCAACCTTCCTGTCCAAAATACTCCAGACACAATAGTCCAACGGATTTGTGTGGCCACGATCGATTAATACGAGCGAAGAGCGGCCATTGGCTGTTATGTCGGCCCACACCATCACCATGGCCGGCGCTTCTGGTGGCCAACAGGAGGTGCACATTTTCAGCTGACCTCTTTGGCAAGTAAACACGACCATTTTGTTTGTTTACAAACTGCTGGACAACGAATGTTTTCTCATTGGAGACGGAGAAACCAAATTCGGTAGTTCACTACTTTCGGCCAAGCGAAACCACTCTTTAGCTCTTTTGAGTCTATGTTCTTTCTGTTGCGGTGGAAGTTCTTGCACATTTCCGAATTTCAATGGCTGATTTTTCAATATTTGCTGAATGGAATATTGCGATATGTTCAGCTCACGACCCATGTTTCGGCCACTGCGACGTGGGTTTCGGTCAAGTCGCTTCTTTATTTTTCGAACCATTGTCCAAAATGCACAATTTGTTCAGTTTGATCCTCCAAGTGTTTATATATTATTCAAGTTTTTCCTTTTTCGTTAGTAATAATAGGAAGACTTTTAATTTTACACCAAAAAATATATCCAAAATCGTTTATTTTGAAGCTTACCGAGGAAAATATTAGTCTTCAACGTCTCCAATATGTAAACCCTAGAAACCAACAAATTTCTGCTCCATTCCCAATACTAAATTTAGTTATATTGAGTAGGCATATCCAAAACAATCTACATCTTTCCATTCTAAACACCAATAATGATCTAAAATTAGAACTATTTTGTAGATATCGTAAAATTACACAATTCCAAATACTCCTTCATATCACAATTCCTGATACCAACAGGGACCTCAATATCAAAATTGAGGATTCCAGCCCATCGCATTTCCAAAACATACCACAAGCAGGGACCCCAAACAAACTGTTCCAAATTTAGATTCTTTTAGTACAGTTCGCACCCTTAGTCCAAAACCACCTTCATATATCAAAGTTACTTTCCAACCATGATTCCCATACCAAATTTTACGTTCTAGCTCTATCTTTATCAGAAACCTACAACAAGCAGGGACCCCAAGCAAACTGTTCCAAATTTAGATTCTTTTAGTACAGTTCGCATTCTTAGTCCAAAACCACCACCATATATCAAAATTACTTTCCAACCTTGATTCTCATACCAAATTTTACTTTCTAGCTCTATCACAGCCAGCTGCTCTGAAACAAAAATAAAAATTTATATGAATCGAACACAATTATTAAAAGGTTCTATCTCCTCAAACAGTGAAGGCGTTGCTTAACTATTTCAATATCTTAAAGATGATTCTAATAGGAACATCTCCTCCGCTGTGTTTTGTGTGTTTAGTGATAAATCTTATCAAAAATGCGAATAGTACGTTCCGATAAAATTTTGTTATACACATACCGATATGGCAAATAAATAAAGAGAGGACATCCTCATCTCCATCATAGTAGAAGTTGACATAACATTCAGATAATGAAATGTCGTTTCAATTACAATATTGAGATGATTTAGTCTATTTCTACCTCTCTTCAGTGCTACTAACTACTTACACTCTGAGGAAGTACATTTTTTATCAAAATGTCGTTGCTATCCTATAGAAATAGGTGCTAAATTTGAGAAAAAAAAACATTCGAAATGTTGAATTAGGTGAATCTTTTTTATGGAAACTTGATGCATATATACAGTGTGAGATGAAAAACTGCAACTAACTTCAGACTGCTGTCATTTTTAAACCACTCGTCCGACAGCTGTAAAAATTATTCCAGTGACAGCTCATTATATTGTTTACAAGCGTACGGAAGCATTTTAGTGAGAATTTTTCAGAAAAAAAGTTATTCGTGATGGAATTGAAGCGTTATTTCTTTATGTTTGGGTGGAAAGCCACAAGTGACTATCGTTAGAGCACTCCAGCATTTAAATGTGAATAAATCTTTTGTGTCTCATACCATCGCTCGTTACCGTGATACTGGTAGCGTAGTCCGACGTCAAGAAAGTGGACGGCAGAAAACAGCAACATCAGTAGAGATGGTTCGGAAAGTAAAGAAGCGACTTGATCATAACCCGCGTCGCAGTGGTCGAACATATCGCAATATTCCATTCAACAAATATTGAAAAATGAGTTCGGGGTAAAGCCATTGAAATTCCAAAAAGTGCAACAACTCACACAGCAACAGAAAGAAAATAGACTCAAACGAGCTAAAGATTTGCTTCGCTTTGCTGAAAGAGGTGAACTGCCAAATTAGGTTTTCTCCGTCTCCAAAGAGAAAACATTCGTTGTCCAGAAGTTTGTAAACAAACAAAATGATCGTGTTTACTTGTCAAAGAGGTCAGCTGAAAATGTGTACCTTCGATTGGCCACCAGAACTCAAGCGCCGACCAAGGTAATGTGGGCCGCCATAACAGCCTATGGTCGCTCTCCGCTCTTATTAATCCACCATCCATCAGAATAAATGCTGAATATTATCGCGAAAATATTCTGGAGAGTGTATTAAAGCCTTGGACGCAAACATTTTGGCCGAAGACCTTGGACATTCCAACAGGACTCAGCACGCGCCACCCAAGAATGGTTACAAAATGAGGTTCCTCGCTTCATTTCCAGAGCGTACAATGGCCACCAAAATCTCCGCATACTAATCCGTTGGACTATTGTGTCTGGAGTATTTTGGAAAGCAAGGTTGGCACTAAAAAATACCAAAGTGTCGATCACCTCGAGCAAGCACTTTACCCGGGAATGGGCCAAAATACCGCAGCGCAACATTCGGGCAGCGGGTGACGGTTTTATTGGCCGTTGAAGGCCATAATTCGAGACAAGGGTGACCAATTCGAACAAATCTAAAGTTTTTCTTAAATTTGATGCTGTTACCGACATTTTTTTGCTTTTATTCAATAAAAATGTAAAAATTATGGCGTTTGACTTTGTTGCAGTTTTTTTATCTCACCCTGTACATATGAATATTTCGGCTTACATAAATATAATGTGTCCTCTCTCTCTCTCTTTGTTTTTGCAGGGGGAGGTGCGAACGATTAACCAAAGAAACAGTTTTGTCTGTCTTTTTTACTACGATTTCATACTTGAAGCGATCGATACTCAAATCCTCCATAATTTGGGTAATTTTAATTTAACCAAAACAAAACCCCTTGTGACTGATAGATAAAACGACAGCATTGTTGTGTGTACTACCTGCAACCTGATACAAATTATAATAAATTGAAGCAACAATAGACTTTACAATGGCACATCTTGGACGTTCCGTTAAAAATGTTGAGGCTCCACGGCCCTTAAAGTCACAGTCACGCTCCTCTTTGAAGAACAATTTAATGCTGATCGAAGAGCTAATGCAACTAATCGAGAATGTGGCAATTTCATTGCAAAACGGAATTAACAATACAGAGCCGATGGCCACGTTGGTGCAAAATCTTCGCATACATGGACCACAATTGGAGACGGTCTCAAAGGATACCTTAGATAGAGCATTTGTGGTATTTCGTAATGCTTCGCAGGACGAACGCTTAAATATAATGACACGTCTTAATTTGCTTGAATTGATTGAGTTGAGAGCCAAAGGATGGGAAGATACTGGTATTAATAGCTATTACAAAACTAAGCAGGCAACAAATGCTGAGGTAAGTAGCAGCAGACTACAAACGAACATGTCAATTATGTGGCTTTTAATACATTTTCTTCCTTTCAGTTAAATGATGTCCAGAATCATGTTGATCCAACACAAACGGCATTTTTAAGCACCTCCCCCACATTTGGTGGTATGAATGCTGGAAATGCTGCTGCTGCCGCTGCCATTGCTTCTGTGGGTTCGGCTAATCAACAACATTTGCTATTGGGACCGGGTGAAGTTATTCGTAATTCTGGAAAATTTCCAAAGCCTACTAAAATCCCTGGCAAAACCTATTGCAAGGATGAGGTTGTGATACGGAATGCTGATTCAGGCAAAGGTATAGTCTCACTTTCCATTTTAATGCAAAAGAAAAGAGTGTTTGCTTCCAGTTTGAGTACTGGAAAGCGAAAAAACAATACCTACCGATAATTTTCTAAACGTGTTTCCCAAGTTTTTTTCTAAACATTTTTATAATTTATTTTTTCTTAAAAACTACGTCCATTTCGCCTTACCCAAACCTCTTACTTGTTGATATTTATATAAAAACCCCTACTTAAGTAATGGGTATCAAAGGTCGTCGTGTCCATATGATTGAGGAACTCAGTGAAACAATCATATCATTCCAAAGAGGTAAACTACAATAATACATGGTTCTAATTTCATCTGTTTAACAGCCTTGTTTTGCTTTTTCATCTTCATTGGCATGGCAAAGATTAAGTTTTTTTGTTTTTCATTTTATTTTTATTTATTAATTTTTCATGTAGAACATTGAGGGAGGGAGGTTATACTACTGCATGTCGACAATATAAATATATGGTTCTTAATATATGTCTATTTTTCCACAATCATTTTAAAGCACAATCCAGAAAGATATTCAAAAGACAATGCAAATCATTTTGTACTCACTAATATTTAACTAATTTAGGTACAAACAACTAAAAAAAGCTGCAAGTTTGGAACGATTTTGGCAATTTTCACAAAAAAAAAAAATAAATAAAATACGTTAAAAATCCTGTTAAAAACTTAAAAAATACCGAATGTAGCCATTATATTAGGGTCTATTAAAAAACGTGGACCTGCATAGGTTACAATTTGTCATAAAGCATTACCATATTCAAATGCGAAACTTGAGTAAACAATTCGGTGAAAATGTAGCTAAAATCATCCAAATTCCGAATATAGGGAGTTACCGTTATATTGGGACTATACAAAGACGTGAACTTGCACAGACATAGGCTGTATCATCCGTTACAAATTTCAAATACCAAATTTAAAACATTTCCGGTGAGGTGCTGTTCTATGGGGGATATATGAAGACGTGGACTTGCACAGACAATTTTCTGTCATAGGCTGTAGCATCTGTTACGAACTTCAAATACCAAATTTGAAACATTTCCGGTGAATAATGTCGCTAAAATCATCAAAGTACCGAATATCGGGGGGTAACGTTATATGGGGGGTATATGAAGACGTGGACCTGAACAGACAATTTTCTGTCATAGGCTGTAGTACTCGCTACGAACTTCAAATACCAAATTTGAAATAATTCCGGTAAATAATGTCGCTAAAATCATCAAAATACTGAATATCGGGAGGTACCGTTATGTGGGGGCTATACAAAGACGTGGACCTGCACAGACAATTTTCTGTCATAGGCTGTAGCATACATTACGCACTTCAAATACCAAATTTGAAACATTTCCGGAGAGTAATGTCGCTTAAATCACCAAAATACCGAAAAAGGGAGGTGCCATTATATGGGATCGATATCAAAACGTGGGACTGCATCACCCATTTTTAATACCAAAAGTCCTGCAGACTTAATACACATTTGAGTTAAATTTTATCAACCTACATAACCTAACCTACTGACGGAGGAACATAGCTACATCGACTTGGAATTTTATGCCGATCAAGAATTTGTGGTGTTTAAAATGTATATTTTGAGGTGTTACAAACGGAATGACAAACTTAATATACCCTTCATACTATGGTGGAGGGTATAATAAATAAAGGAAAGTGTTGTATGATCCTAAGTGACTGCCGCGTAAAAAGTAAATCAAAAAGGGGACGTCACATTTTGGAACAAATAAAATCTTATTTGCATGTTCATCCATTAATTGCGTTAACATTAAAAGAAGCTTGTACAAAAAAATTGCAAGGTTATTTTACATTTTGCAATCTATTCATTTATATCAGCTATATGACTAATAAAAATGACCCGGTTTTTTTAATTTCTTAACTTATACAAATTTCCTTTAAAACTCATTTTTTGTTGTTGTTGTTGAAACTAAAAATCATGTTCATAACCCGCTTTAATTTAATTTCCCATCGTATTACATACTCTGTGTGGTGTGCATTTTAACTAATCTGATAACATTTTAATAAAAATTATCAAGTGAATCCGGGAGCAAAGGAACGTTTGGTACAGATAACCGGTCCTGCTGAAGATAAAATCAAGTAAGTTTAATTTAATATGAATTGTTTGCGAAATGAATTCTAAACTGCATCTACTTATAGCTATGCCAAACAGTTGATTGAAGACACCATACGTCGTAATGCTTCTCCGGTGCGTTTGGATCCAGCCATGGGCAGTGGCCATGCTGGTGGCTCGTGTTCATCATTGGCCTCTTCAAACTCAGACGAGGCGGTGCAGACACGAACCCCAGGCGCCAGCAATTTGGCCAATCGTTTAAGCTTTAATTCAGCCCAAAACTTTATGACTGCTGCTGCGGCATCCCAACAGATGGTCCAACAACAATTGGCAAATGTTCCCGGTTTAAATAGCTCAACGCCTGTGGCCAATACTGCTGCTGTCGCTGGTAAACCGATACGTCCTCATACGCAAATGTTGTTGCATTCATATTCAACAAATGATGCTTCTTTAGGTGAATACAAGTTCACTTGTAACGTGGGTCAACATGTTATCAAAATCACCGGAGACTGCTGTGACTTAGTTAGGGTAATGAATAATTCAATTGAATAATGTAATACAAAGGGTGGGTAATTAGACTTCCTTCTGCTGAACAGGTTGCCAAATTGGTGTTGGACGATTATTTCAGCAGTGCAGAGTTTTTGGCATCTATGGAAGCAGGGGCAGCCTTTGATGGTTCTATGACCAGTCCTATTTCCACACCAACAACACCAATGACGGGGGCTCCGCAATTTATTATGGGTACACCGTTGGCAACGGACAGTGGTATTGGTCTGAATTACATGTCTGCAGCTAACAACAACAATAACCAGGATGTAGATGATGATGTCTTTGTTGATAGCAGTAATTTATGTAAGTACTCCATAATGCACCAAATAACCTACTTAAAACAGGTATTAATGAGTCACATTTCTCTCTTGTAGCCAAATCAGCATCACAAAATAATGGCCTAGCCCGTTCACGTAGAAGTCATTTTTCGCGTAAGGATTCCACTCCCGAAGCTCCAGCAACGCCAGTGACACAGTTGGTACGTCAAAAGAGTGAGGTCGGCACTGCTGTCAACAACAATGCAACAACAAGTAAGTACGGCACAGATGTATGTTGTGGAAAATTTCGAAGTATGTTTGTTTGGAATGTTTTTATAGTTGGGCATAAATAATTAACAAAGGTATAGGTGGCCATTTGTTTCTCACTCATGTGTCTAACATCAAGGAATGTCGTCGTTATTATTTCAAAATTGTTTTTTTGTCCGGATGACGCAAATATGTATATTTTTATTTATTAGCTGGATTATGAATAGCAATCAAATTTTAGTTACCTTTCCACTTGTCTCTGGGATCGTAAGGCAAACCTAAATCTATACATGGAAACCCATGGGACAATCAACACTTTCGTAAAGTTAAACGACAATAATTTGAGAATTTTTGTCTTAAATAATATTTATACCCTACAACAGAAGGTGGTCAGGGTATTATGTTTTTGTGCATTTGTTTGTAAAAGGCAAATAGAAATGAGATAGACCCATAGTTCCTTTTCATGATCTGCAAAGAATCACACTCTGAGTCGATGTATGCATGTCCGTACGTCCGTCTTTCCATGTATTTTTGTAAACAAAGTACAGGACGCATTTATTGCCCGATGAAAATTTGCACAAACCATTTGTTTGATCCACGGACGAACCCTATTAAAATATTGAGACAATCGGTCAAAATTTATATATAGCCCCCATATATACAGGGTGAGATAAAAAACTGCAACAAAGTCAAACGCCATAATTTTTACATTTTTTTAAAATTTTATTGAATGGAAGCAAAAAATGTCGGAAATAGCATCAAATTTTAGAATAACTTTAGATTTGTTCGAGTTGGTCACGTTTGGCACGAATTATGGCATTCAAATGGCCAATGAAACCGTCACACACTGCCTGAATGTTGCTCTGCGGTATTTTGGCCCATTCCCGGTGAAGCGCTTGCTTGAGGTGATCGACACTTATTTTTTAGTGCCAACCTTGCTTGCCAAAATAGTCCAACGGATTGGTATCCGCAGATTTTGATGGCCATTTTGCGCTGAAAATGAAGCGAGGAATCTCATTTTGTAACCTTTCTTGGGTTGCGCGTGCTGAGTGCAATGGTGCTGAGTCCTGTTGAAATGTTCAAAGTCTGCGGCCAAAATGTTTGCGTGCCCATGGCATATTCGGCATTTATTCTGATACGAGCTGAGAGCGACCATTGGCTGTTATGGCGGCGGCCCACACCATCGCTTGAGTTCTGGTGGCCAACCGAAGGTGCACATTTTCAGCTGACCTCTTTGGCAAGAAACATGATCATTTTGTTTGTTTCGAAACTGCTGGACAACGAATATTTTCTCATCGGAGACGGAGAAAACCAAATCCGGCAGTTCACCACTTTCGGCCAAGCGAAGCAACTCTTTAGCTCTTATATGTCTATTTTCTTTCTGTGCGGTGTAAGTTCTTCCACTTTTTGGAATTTCAATGGCTTTACCCCGAGCTCATTTTTCAATATTTGCCGAATGAAATATATTGCGATATGCGAGGCGGGTTTCGATCAAGTCGCTTCATTACTTTTCGAACCATTTCTGCCGATGTCGCTGTTTTCTTACGTCCACTTCCTACGCTACCAGTATCACGGCAACGAGCGATGGTACGAGACACAAAAGATTTATTTACATTTAAATGCTGGAGTTCTCTAACGATAGTTACTTGTAGTTTTCCAGCCAAATATAAAGAAAATTCTCACCAAAATGCTTTTGTATGCTTGTAAACAATATAATGAGCTATCACTGGAAGAATATTCCTCCCATATATCAGTTCCTTTGGACTTTAAATTATAACTATAATCATGGTTGGTATGATTCAATTCACACAAATTCCCCATAAGAACTTTTATTTATTCTGTGAAGCTCTACTAAATATGCAAAGTGGTGTAGGGTATCATAAAGACGGCCCTGCCCGACTTTAAGACTTTCTTTACTGGTTTTTATTTGGTATTTCCATTCCAGTTTGGAAGATTTACAAGTTTGTTATAGATTAGAACTCTAAGATGCCGGCAACACTCTCCGTTGGTTGGTGGGGGTCATTAAAAGTTAATCTCGAAAGAGAAAATCGTTATCAAATTTAGTGTATATTGATTCGTACTGATCAATTTACTTCTCCGCTCCAAACATGTCCACCTATGCAACATCGACATTTTTGTTTTGTAGTTTGTTAGTGTTGAATACTTCGGAATTGAAAACAAAAAAATCTATTGCTTTTTTTCTTATGAATTTGTTTTGTTTTTAGCACGCATCGTTCATCAGTATGAGCATTTGCTCTTTTATGCTAAGAGTCCTCATTCCTGGGCATTGCCAAATGAATGGCAAAGAATCTGTGAAAAATTTCCGGCCATAATACGTAATAAGGTAAAAACAACAACAACGCATGTTGCTTCTTGTAATGCTAATGTAAACTCGGCTATCACAAATCCCACTACTTATATTACTACTACTACTACTACCGCTCCCTACTCCTCCTATATCAATTTAAAAGCTTGTCCATCATTAACGCTACGTGTTGCTTGCAATAATGCTGCCGCACATTCAAGTTACGCCACAACTACCGCCACCACGAACACCACAACTTCTACTACATCATCAGCAGTTGCTATCACCAACAACACCACCTCCCACTTCACTACCGCTCTCAATGATAATAATATAAATGAAGTAGATTCGAAAATAGGAACCGGCAATGTCACTAACAATATTGTACATAATAATGTCAGTTTTAGTTTTAAACATTTAAATAACATGATGAACAACAATAATAACAATGAAGTTGTGCATCAGCAACTACAACAACAACAGGTACAGCAGGAACCAATCGTCGAGAAATGTATTGAACAAAATAACGCGCCAGCGACTCCAAACATTCCAAGTCTATTTAAATTTAATCATTTCGTGGCTGATATGCCTTTGAACATTAAACGCAAAGGCTTCTTTGGTCGTTTAACCTATAGCATCGATGAAGATGGCAGCTATGAAGCCATGATGAAAACTCCCTCTCCCGGTGTTGAACCGCCACCACCACTAACATCGACAATTGTGCCAACTCAAAACAGTCCCTCAGCAGCACCTACCCTCACTGGGGGCAGTGGCCGTTTAAATAATATCCATTTAAATCGGGCATTAGTTTCCATTCGCACCGGTCCAATGACTGCAACGCCGGTTGCAATGACGACAACTTCAAACAATGAGTTTTCATCAACTGCACCGCCACAACCTGAAGTTAATACTACTCGCCAAAAGTTGTTGAATAAACAAATAAAAATTATATCCGACATTATGGTGGAGAGCAGTAAAACTGGCAACAGTAAATCTTCAGAATCTCTTAAGATGGTTACGGCAAGTGAACATGGTGTCAGGGACACAAAAGAACAAGAACATCATAACAACGACGACGACGATGATGGCAGTGATGATGTGCAAATTGTTGCCGTGACATCGCCACCATTTGTCAACAACGACAATGAAACTAGCCCAAATACCACCACCACTCATTCAAATCAAAATTCTCGTCCAAAATTAAGCTATGAATTTCGTTCGTATTCAACGTGTGACTAAGAAAAAAAACGAAGGAAGCCACGATCGATTTATTTGCCTCCATTCAAGAAGGCAACGTTTTTTTTCTTTTTTTCAAAGATATCGTTTAGTTTTTTGAGGTAAATTGTTTATTTGCAATTGCGTATTTAAAACCGCTGTGTTTGTTTAATGTGCACTTCTAAACCACCAATTGATTTTCCAGAAAAAAACCAACATTTAATATACCAATACATATGTATATGTATGTAATACTTTAGTTATACTATAGGTGTGTCTGGTTACCCTAAAATTTGTAACAATTGTTACAAAATTGTTACTGGAAGTCATCTCTTAACCCGAAAGCTCTGCAAAAGAGAGCGTTTGGAGAGAGAAAAATGTTGACAGTTCATTCAGTGAGAGTTTGCAAATTCTTGCTGGACAAATTTCTTCTTGCAATCACTTGCAACTCTTCTTCTCATTCATCGACATTCAGTCAGATGTTTCTATTGTTTGTTTATTTATTTTTGTGATTTCTATTTGAAAATGTTTGTTTTTGGAATTAGCAAGACTAATTGTTTTTAGAGAACAACTTCGCAAAATGTGAAAAACGTAAATATTAATATGCAATTAGAAAAAAAGACTATTTCCAACATTTTTAGAAAACGTCATTAGCAGCACACATCAAATATATCTTTCTTTTATTTCTCATATTTTTATTTTATTGCTAATATGCAGCAATACCGCCTGTTTGCTTGTCGCATTTTCCTTGCAGAAGAGAATAAAAGAAAGAAGTTTCTGGACAATTCCTGCTAGAAAAATAACCAGACACACCTTATGCCCACTTTTTTTTGGTGTTCAAAGGAATATTTGAAAAGTTAATTTTAGAAGAATGTACGAAAATGACATCTCATGTTCGCATTGGATATAAAATTCGTATTTTTTATTGATAACCTTCAATTGGTAATGTAGTACCAAATTTAAATAATACGGCCATCGCTAATTCGAATTGATATTGCCTTCATCAAATGAAAACATCAAATTTGTGTTAAACGAATTCGCATTAATTTAATTAGTTTTTGATCGGGTGTTGAACACCTGTGTAGTTTCTTCGAGTAACTTTAAAAAAGTTCACAACTTGATGGTGGTGACTGGGCATTCACAAACGTTTAAAATATTTTCTAAAAATATAGTTTTATGTTGTCATATCTACAATACGACGATATACCTTTGGATATACATCAACAGCTACACTATGTCTGTATAAGTGTTGCCAACTCTAGTCATTGTTTATCGCATTGCCACATTAAATGAATTTGCAATAATAAGTCGTTGGCGCATACAACACAATGAATGATACACAGGAATCGAAAATATGAATCTCTTTTTTGTTATTATTTACTTTATACACTACACTACAAAATTATTTTTATATAATCTGTGTTTTGGCTGTGAAACAGATTAATTTATTAGTTGAATCAACACATGAAAAGTAACAAGATCTTTTATTTATTTTATTTAAAAAAACACAGTGTATTAAAAATACCAAAAAAAAAAAAATGAAAAGAAAACCAAAATGTTAACCAAACAAACAATATATATATCACCAAAAACAAATGTATGTATTTATGTAATGATGTACTTAATCGATACTATTAACCAAAACAAAACCAAACTAATGTATATTCTTTAATACTTGAACTTTACTATTAATGATTTTATTATTATTCCATACTTTTCATGGCACAAACAAGTGTAATTTATAATTAGTAGGCGTGTGCGTGGGTGTGTAATGTGCGCCAGTTTAGAAACAAAAATAACACAAACATGAAAAGAAACAAGTTTTTAAAATTATATACCCATTATTATTACTTCTACTCCTCCTACCTACCTGTATGAAGGGTATTTTACAAAAATACTTTTAGTCGTACTTGGTAATAAAAAAATTAAAATTAAAAAATAAATATCTGTAATAATATTAATTTTCTACATTTAATCATATGCTATGAAATGGTGTATTTGTTGGAATGTTTACTCGTGCTTTATGTGGCTATTGGTGGGTTATGGTCATGGTAAAGGGATTTGTTGATGACAAAACAAATGCTCCTCAACTTCACATTTAATCCTTAACAGCATTTTTGTATTAACCACCATTCATTGTCATTACTTCTTTGTTTTGTTTGTTTCATTCATTTTTCATTTATTTAACCCCGAACTAATCCCACCGTTAGCACCATCATGTTGTTCATGTTCATCATTTATTCGAGAGAAGAGTGAATTACAAAACCCATTAAAATTGAGCTTAATTGACATTTTGTAATAATTGTATCGTACAAAATAAAAAAAAAAAAAAGAATGCTAGTCATAACAAATAATCCACTTTTCAAGATCGTGTTTAACATTAACATTGGTTTAAGGTAAGATTAAGACCCTTTTTTGCTTTTTATTACTAAATTTGAAAAATTATGTAGTATGGATTTTGTGCAACAATGAGACATGTAATGTGTGTGATTCTCTTTCCAAAAAGGCGGAAGTCAAAGGCCGAATCGGTAAATTAACTTCTGTTTAAACCAGTTTTTCTTTCCTAGGCATAAAGTGTCCAATATGCTCACCCACAGGATGAGATAAAAAACTGCAACAAAGTCAAACGCCATATTTTTTTAATTTTTTTATTTTTTAATTTTATTCAATGAAAGCAAAAAATTTCGGAAATAGCATCAAAGCCCGAATGATAAAGAAGCGACTTGACCGAAAACCGCGTCGCAATGGCCGAAAAATGGCTCGTTGAAAAATGAGCTCGGGGTAAAGCCATTGAAATTCCAAAAAGTGCTTTCGCTTGGCCGAAAGTGGTGAACTCCCGAATTTGGTTTTCTCTAAACTTATTCTAAAATTTGATGCTATTTCCAACATTTTTTGCTTTCATTAAATAACATTTACAAAAATGTAAATATTATTCTGTTTTACTTTGTTGCAGTTTTTTTTTTATCTCGCCCTGTATGTTTAGCTGTTACCACAACAATCCCATCTTCGTAGGCAATAATGTTTATAGCAAAACTATCAAAAGATGGATATCATTTTATATGGACTGTTTCAGTACGACGATACGAAATGAAAACACCATTCCTGAAAAATACTGAAAATCAATTTTTAGTCGTCTACATTCTGTTCTTTGAAATCTACAGCTTAATGCAAGGCCGTTTCACAAAATGTTCACTTCAATATTGCCCCCAATCCATATACCAATGTCAAATATTTCAAAATCAAAGCCTTAAGCCGTTCCAATACACTCCGCGCTAAATAGACAAGTCATTGTCTCAGCAAAAGAAACGCACACATTGATGTCACGCTTATTGTATTGAACCCTCATTTGCTATATTCTTTCACCATACATTTTTTCGTTTTCTTTATTCCCAATAGGACTTGCAAGATGAGAGCAATCGTTTTGATGGTGATAAATATTTGGAATTGGCTAAATCATCCGGTAAACGTAATCTAACAACTGTTGACGACAGCACTACGGATAACGATATACAAGAAAACGAATAAAAAACAAACCACCTCCCTTCCCCATTTTGAGTCCAATAGAAAAACAACAACAAATAAAATAGAAAATTATATTTTCGTTACTTAAATATCGAAAATAAACCAAAAAGTAAAGAAAACAAAGGAAACGGAGCAGTCGGCTATTAGTATAGCGATTTTATACTCCTTCTTCTCTTCTGCTCCCAAAAAAATAAAACGTTCTTTTGTATTGTTTCAAAATATTTTGATTTGAAAAAAACACACACCAAACAGGAATGGAGAAACTATAACAAAAAACAGAACGAAACCTAATGTAATGAAAAGCTAACTGAAATTAATTTAAGTCAGATTGGAAATTTTTATAAAAACCGCAATATTTATTTTTAGGGACATTTAATAAGTATACAAAGAATCTACGAAACTATATACATATATATTTAAAAGAAATATATATGTATACTATAACGAGAAAATGTTTTGTAATGGAATTACTAAAACAAGAACAACAATCACAGGATCTTGATTACATTGTATTTGATTTATATAGGCAATATTTTTTAATTTATTTATTATTATCATTATTTTTTATTAAACATATATTTTATATTTAACAAAGCGCTCTAGTAATTACTCATTGTGTTTTTTTTCGTACTTTTCATAATAATTTAATTTTGCATTTTCCAAATTAATTTTCCTATTAACATTATTTACGTATATGGATGATAAAGGACGATAAGGATGATAGGGGCGAAACAACAAAATATGTAACTCAAATGGACTTATTTTTGCTTTGCGTCTCCTCTTCCAATGTAACTAACATGATTTTTGAACAAGTATTTATGTAATTTAGTCTTATATTTTAATTATAGCATGTTTTCTCTTGTCCCCTACCTACTATGTCAGTAAGTCAGTTGGGAATATGTTTTTCTTTTTTGTTGTTTTAATTTTGCTTGTCCTCCACCACTTCCATTTATACAATAATTTTTTTTTAGTTCGTTTCTTTTGTTATCTAAATTTTTTCTAGTCTTTTTCTCAAATTATTTTAACCTTTTAATAATAGAAATCAAATATATATTTTATTTTTGAAAAACTCTATAAAATGTTTGCATTTTTAATTAATTGAAATGGAAGACATTATGCCTCACTTTTTTCCACTTTCGAAATCTCAATAATTCTCGGAACGGTCATCCGAGCTTTAAATCTCTTTGAATGTTTGTCGAAAAAAACCCGATAAACTTTTTTCGATAAACTTGTACATTAACAAGTAAAATAGTATCAGTCGGTTATGCCGACAGATGCACAGGGTGAGATGAAAAAAACTGCAACCAACTTTATACTGTTGTCATTTTTAAGCCACTCGACCGACAGCTGTTAAACTTATTCCAGTGACAGCTCATTATGCTGTTTACAAGCGTACAAAAACATTTTAGTGAGAATTTTTCAGGAAAAAAGTTATTCGTGATGGAATTCAAGCGTGATAGTGTGATTGCTTTATATTTGGCTGGAAAACCACAAGTAGCTATCGTTAGAGCACTCCAGTATTTAAATGTCAATAAATCTTTTGTGTCTCGTACCATCGTTCGTTACCGTGATACTGGTAGCGTAGCCCGACGTTAAGGAAGTGGAAGGTAGAAAACAGCAACATCAGCAGAAATCCTTCGAAAAGTAAAGAAACGACTTGATCGAAACCCGCGTCCCAATGGCCGAAAAATGGCTCATGAGCTGTACATTTCGCAATACTCTATTCGGCAAATATTGAAAAATGAGCTCGGGGTAAAGCCATTGAAATTCCAAAAAGTGCAAGAACTTACACGGCAATAGAAAGAAAATAGTCTCAAAAAAGCTAAAGAGTTGCTTCGCTTGGTCGAAAGTGGTGAACTCCCGAATTTGGGTTTCTCCGTCTCCGATGAGAAAACATTCGTTGTCCAGCAGTTTGTAAACAAACAAAATGATCGTGTTTACTGTCCCAAAGAGGTCAGCTGAAAATGTGCACCTTCGGTTGGCCACTAGAACTCAAGCGCCGGCCATTGTGATGGTGTGTGCCGCCATAACAGCCGATGGTCGCTCTCCGCTCGTATTAATCGACCGTGACATCAGAATAAATGCCGAATATTATGGCGAAATTATTCTGGAGGGTGTATTAAAGCCCTGGGCACGCAAACATTTTGGCCGAAGACCTTCGATATTTGAACAGGACTTACAACATGGCACAACGAATGGTTATAAAATGAGCTTCCTCGCTTCTTTTCCAGCGCACAATGGCCACCAAAGTCTTCGGATACCAATCCGTTGGGCTATTGTGTCTGGAGTATTTTGGAAAGAAACGTTGGCATTAAAAATACCAAAGTGTCGATCACCTCAAAAAGTACTTCGCCGGGAATGGACCAAAATACCACAGAGCAACATTCGGGCAGCGTGTGACGGTTTCATTGGCCGTTTAAAGGCCATAATTCGTGCCAAACTCGAACAAATCTAAAGTTATTCTAAAATTTTATGCTATTTCCGACATTTTTTTATCTCACCGTATAGGGTCTAAACCGTTAATTCGATGGAGGCACGTTTTGACCGTATCAAATGATATATACCCTCTGTAGCCATATGACTGAGGGTATAAAAATTGAGGTTTGAAAGTAAGTTTGATATATGCAGGTGGTTTTGGAAATGTGTACTAAGTGTGCGAACGGTACTAAATGGAGCTAAAGTTGGTACAGTTTCATTTAGGGTTAACTGATGAAGTTGGAATATTGAAATGTTTTATTGGGGTCCCTGTTAGTGGTAGGCTTGAGTTCGTCTGCAACATTGAACCATATAACGATACTTCAGGATATTCGGTATTTTGATGTTTTTAGCCACAGTTTCAACGAAAGTGTTTCAAATATGCTACATGAAACTTAGAATAGTTAACAAATTCAAAAGTTGAATGTTGTCAAATTAGTCTCACGTATTGATATAACACCCCTATAAGGGCCCTGCCCACTTTTTGATAAATTGAAGATTCTCCAACCAATTTTTCTGGCAAATTCAGTTTTAACTCGACTTTATTTGAATATTGGATTTCGATAATTTACTTTACTTTATGGTAGAGGGTATTAAAAGTTTCGTTCCACCCGCTTTTTTACTTGTCACAATCACTTTCTGTGTGTTTTTTTAGATTTCAGTCAATAAATAGAGGGCAAGTGCTGGTTTAATTTTATTGAGAAAGTATTGGTTTATTTTTAAATATTAACAAATAACATCTTTAAATATATTCATGATATATAAAACAGTATCTTTGTATCTAGTAACTTCTTTACATATGTATATAGCTATTATATATTATCAAAGAGCTTCTGAATGTCTTTTTCGATGGTTTGATTTTTTAGATTTAAGTATTTTGTTGAAATCTTTTTTCGAAGATTTTGTTCCAAAATTCTAAATTGGTTTATAAACTGAGTGCACTCGTTATTCGCATTGAGTATATCCCCGTCTGTTGATATTACCTCTAGGATGTTTTCAATGTTTTCCTGACATCTACAAAAATATTTTATAAGATACGTTAATTTTGAAAAAATAATAAGAAGCAATAAAATAATACCTCTCAAATTCATCACTCTTGGTTAAATATTTTTCACATTGCTTTTGCATTGTATGTATGATTTGCTCCATACTCCGCCTAAGCATATCTAGTTTCTTACGTTGTTCGACAGATCTGAGAAAATTTTCATTCATTTCACACATTATTTCTTTGATTATATTAAAATAATTCGTTAGACATTTCCCGTACAGTAGTTCAACATGTTTGGTGTTAGCTTGTGATTTTGTGATTGAGTGCTCCTGAATTTCGGCTGGGTATGTAATAATATTGGGAATTAATAAAAAAAGCAAGTAAAATATTACCAGTCGGTTTTGCCGACAGATGTATACCCACAGCCTTGAGTTGTGATTACTCTAACCGTCTGTGATTACTCTAACTGACTCAGAAGAAATTGTGCAATCTGTACCATTTTTATAACAGATCTTGTGTTGATGGAATCATTGAGATGTGCCAAGTCTGAATGGAATCGGATGTTAATTTCGCGTTTTATGGCCTTCATGGATATTCAAAATTTTGTCCCTTTGTGGGGGGACGTACCAGAATTAGTGGACCGATATATTCCATCTTTACACCAGACCTTGGGTTAATAAAAATATTGTGATTTGTGTGGTTTGAAGGGAACTGGATTCTTATTTCGTATTTTATGATCGTTTTGGTAATTCAAAACTTTGTCCCTTTGTGAGGGAGGAACCAGAAGGAATGGTCCGATCTCTACAATCTTTATAACAGATCTTGTGTTTATGGAAATATTGAGATGTGCCAAGTCTGAATGGAATCGGATGTTAATTTCGTATTTAATGAGCTTTTAGGGATATTCAAAATGATGACCCTTTGTGGGGGACGTACCAGAATGAGTGGACCGATATATCCCATTTTCACATCAGACCTTGCGTTAATAAAAATATATTGATTTGTTTGGTTTGAAGAGGACTGGATGCCTATTTCGGATTTTATGAACGTTTTAGTTATTCTAAATGTTAACTCTTTGTGGGGGTGGTGCCAGAAGGAATCCGATCCGATCTCTATCATCTTTATAATCGATCTTGTGTTGATGGAAATATGGAGATGTGGCAAGTTTGAACGGAATCGGATGTTAATTTCGTGTTTTATGAGCTTCATGAAAATTCAAAATTTTGACCCTTAATGGGGGAAGTACTAGAAGGAGTGGACCGATATATTTCATTTTCACATCAGACCTTGGGTTAATAAAAATATTGTGCTGTGTGTAATTGGAAGACAATCAGACACATCACATTTTATAATAGTTATAATTATTCAAAATTTTGACCCCTTGTGGGGGAGATACTGGAAGTTGGAGCAAAATCGGATTATCCTTTCTCTTTCTGTGCAGTAAGTTATGTTCTATAAAAAATGATGACATTTTGTGGGGGAGGTAACAGAAGGAGTGGACCGATATAGCCCATCTCCGAACTCGATCTAAGTTTGACAATAATATTACGATGTACCAAGTTTGGCCCAAATCGGATAATACCTTTGAGAGTTATAGTGCGCACCAGCCAGCCACACAGACGGACCGACGAACATCGGTAGATAGACTCCAAATGTCCTTAAACGGATTTGGTCCAAAGAGACCTAGGGTCTAAAACCGTTATTGTGAAGAGGCACGTTTTGGCCGTATCAAATTATATATACCCTCTATAGCCATATGGCTGAGGGTATAAAAACAAAAGCAGACACTAATCACTTACCCTCCAATTTAAAAGGATTATTTAAAGCTGGCAGTGAATTGTCTGAATCTAAAACATTGATTCAACATTTTATAATAAAATTTGCCTATGAAAAATTAAAACCATTACATTACCTTTGTTGTGTTGTTGTTGCGTGGAAACTCCATAAGATGAAGAGTCTTCGTACAAATGATCGAAATTATCAAAATTATTTGCAAATGGTTTCTTCTGTGCTTTGTCTTCTTTTGAGGTATTGTCGCTGGAATTTTTCGGCTTAGTGTTCTTGCAAAGTATTTTCTTCGCAACGTTGGAGTTAGGTTCATCTTTATGTTCCAGATCATTGGGTATTTTGGAATTACATTTCGACTTGTTTTCCTGATAATAATGAAGCATCTCAACAGTTTCCATATTTGTATGGCCCACTTCCGACACGATTTCGTTAATATTGCTTGTATTAGCAATTTCGAAAATATCTATATTTAAATTTGATATTTCATTCCTGTTTTCCTGCTGATATTGTTTATTTGTTACATCTGTTATTGTAGCAGAATTGGAACGGCATATTGGTCCTGGACGTTCTGGGATGTTAATGGAATTCATCTTCTCCTGACCTATGACAATGGCTTTTCCGACAGTTTTGAAGCTACTTTGATGCTTTGAAGATTTAACGTTTTTATGGTCCACATGATCATAAAGGTTTGTATTCGAATTTTTGGGTCTCTCTCTCGCTGTAGTATGTAGAGTACGACCACTCGATACTAAATCTGATATTTCTTGCAAATTGGACACGTTATTTCTTAACACATATCTTGTGTAACAAGTTATTTCAAGTATTTCGTTATTTGTGGATTTTTTACTTATGTTTGTATGTGATAGCAAATCTGGATATCTGAGTGCTTCGTTTACCTTCTGAAAATTATTATGAGATTTTAAATTCGATTGACATTTTTCCCCTTCATTAATAGATTTCTGTTCCAAAGGGAACATTGGGTTTAGTCCATAACTGTCGGATTTTCTTAATAATGACGAAGTAACAGTTCTTTGTGTCATTGCTCGGGATTCATTGTTGTTGCCATTATTCAAGGTATAATTTAGATTATCAGAAATAATAACATCTGGACTGAAATTCACTTGTTTCATCCTCTGTTCAGTAACTTTTGAAGGTAAAACAATTGAATCGGTGTTGGATTTATTAGCACTCATCTTCTTGTAATCATGTACCATTGGCAACACGGAGACCTGTGGAACTTGTTGCAATTTTTCTGAGTTACGTTTATGCTGTTGTACAACATTTGTTTCCGTATCACTCGTTTCGCTATCACTGCTGTTGTCACTCAACCGATTTTGATAAATTACACAATCATGGAGTGCTTCACAATTTGCAGTAGTTTCGACAGATTGAAATTTAAATGTTTCCTTGTTCTCGATTTGAAGGATTGGTTTTATATCACCAAACTGTGGATTGTCATTTTTGGCTCGGCTATTTATCCCAAAAAAAGTACCATTTTTATAGATATCTTCTGATACAGCCGTTGGTGTAACATTGATATCGGATACAGCCATGTTTATAGGTGATACTGGTGTTCGTGGTATGGAAACGGGCGAATTCAGCGGTGTTGAAATGTTATCTCCAAATGTATGTCTTTTGGCGGCTGCAGGAGAATCTTTAAACAAACAATGCAATAGAACTTTAAGACAGTAATTAATCCATCAACGTTCGTAAAAAAAATGACTTGTGCAAAATTTTATCTGGATCGGGCAAAACTATATGGACAGACAGATCATCATATCATCAAAGGGAACTTAGGTGTCTATCTCGTTTCCTTTTGCCTGTTACACACAAATGCACAAAGGCATAATACCCTGACCACCATGTGCTGTTAAAAATCACCAAAATACCAAATATTCGGAGGTACTGCCGTATGAGTGATAAAAGAAATGATGAGCCCATTCACGCAGTCTTCTGCCACAGAAGACAGAACCCATTACAAAACCTGCATATCGAATTTTAAACGATTCCCCTGAAAAAATTTTCTAAGACCATCAGAAAACCGAATATAGGAAAAACCCGAAACATGGAGGGTATAGCAAAATGTGAACCTATACAGCGCGAGATAAAATAAAAAAACAGGGTGAGATAATGAAACCGTCACACGCTGCCCAAATGTTGCTCTGCGGTATTTTGGCCCATTCCCGGCTAAGCGCTTGCTTGAGGTGATCGACACTTTGGTATTTTTTAGTGCCAACCTTGCTTTCCAAAATACTCCAGACGCAATAGTCCAACGGATTGGTATCCGGAGATTTTGGTGGCCATTGTGCGCTTGAAATGAAGCGAGGAACCTCATTTTGTAACCAACCGTAGGTGGCGCGTGTTGAGTACTGATGGAATGTTCAAGGTCTGCGGCCAAAATGTTTGCGTGCCCAGAATATTTTCACGATAATATTCGGTATTTATTCTGATGCCACGGTCGATTAACATGAGCAGAGAGCAACCATCGTCTGTTATGGTGGCCTACAGCAGTTGTGGCCGGCGCTTGAGTTCTGGTGGCCAACCGAAGGTGCACATTTTCAGCTGACAAGTAAACCGATCATTTTGTTTGTCTACAAACTGCTGGACAACGAATGTTTTCTCATCGGAGAAAATCAAATTCGGCAGTTTTCCACTTTCGGCCAAGCGAAGCAACTCTTTATCTCTTTTAAGTCTATTTTCTTTCTGTTGCGGTGTAAAATCATGTACTTTTTGGAATTTTAATTGCTTTACCCCGAGTTAATTTTTCAACATTTGCCGAATAGAATATTGCGATATGTTCAGCTCACGAGTCATTTTTCGGCCACTACGAGCTGGGCTTCGACCAAGTCGCTTCTTTACTTTTCGGGCCATTTCTGTTAATAGTTAATTTATATAAACACTCAAATCAACATTGTAATTAACTGTGAGGACACTTAATGTTTATGCAAATGTCTACAACTTTGAAATTTGTGTCATACGCCATTATATGTACATACACATTTTCTTTTCCTCATTACTTCTAATAAACTGATCTCAACAACAGGTTATGGGCCTACATTCGCGTAATTAAAATCGTTTTTTTTATTGGAAGTAAATTGATAAAATCATGGCTGCATCGTACACATTATTTCCCAAATTGTCAAATACTAATTACCATGTCTGGAAATTTAACATGGAGTTGCTGCTGCTGGAGAGGGAATTGTGGGATGTTGTTGTTGGTAATCTGCCTGAGGAGCCGGATGAAAAGTGGTTGATTCGTGATGGGAAGGCAAGGGCTGCTATTGGGTTGGCTGTGGAGGAATCACAGAAAATACTCATAAAGCAACTGAAGACGGCGAAAGCTTTCTGGGACGCCTTGAAGAAGCATCACGAGAAGTCAAACATAACCAACAAAGTTAGTCTGCTTCGCCAAATGTCGTCGAAGAGGCTGGTTAGTGGTCAAAGTATGGAAGACCACATTCATGAATTTTTATCAATTGTGGACCGTTTGCGTGATTTGGGTGAGAAGATGGAAGAACACAAAGCTGTTGCATTTTTGCTGGGCACTTTGCCGGATGATTACAACCACCTAATTTCATCATTAGAAATGCGTTCGGAGGAAGATCTGACGCTCGATTTGGTGAAGGAGAAGTTGCTACAGGAGTTCAGGAGAAAGATGTCAGGTGAACATCAAACTGAGGCTGCTTTTAAAGTGCAGAAGAAAAAGTTTGTGCCAAAATGTTTTTCATGTGGAAAGCCGGGCCATATGAAAAAGGATTGTACAAACAAAAATCTGCGAAAACAACAAAAGCCAAACGACAATCGGGCCAATATTGTTAAAGATGGCAATAAAAATGTTTGTTTTGGTATCACAAATGTAAAAGCAAATGGCGATTGGTTTATTGATTCTGCTGCAACTTGTCATATGTGTAGTGAGGAGACATATTTTGACAAAATTAATAAGCAAGTGGATGAAATGGTGTATTTGGCAGATGGTACAATGTTGAAGGTGACTGGTTGTGGTGACTGCAAGATATTTTGTGAAGGCAAGGAAATTCGTGTTCAAAATGTACTATTCATACCAGAGCTGGACGGGAGTTTACTGTCAGTTCGGAAACTAACTGCTGAAGGTTTTAAGGTGTTTTTTGACAGAAATGGTTGTTCAATTTCTCTGGGCGGACATGTTCTTGCGAAAGCTACTTTAAGGAACAATTTGTTTGTGCTGAATCAGTCTTACAAAGCAAATATGATATCGAAATGTAAGAGTGACTGTATTCATATTTGGCATCGTCGTTTTGGCCACAGAAGTCATCAAGCAATTAGCTCAACCGTTACTAAAGAGCTTATTCGAGGTGTGAGCATAAAGAAATGTGCTTGTTTGTTTGATTGTGAGGTTTGCTTGAGAGCAAAGCTTACACGAGCACCCTTTCCAAAGGCATCGGAATCTAGATCGGATGAAATTTTAGATTTGGTACATTGCGACTTATGCGGCCCCATGCAAAATACAACCCCTGGTGGAAATCGTTATTTTTTAACTCTGATTGATGATCACAGCCGTTATTGTACAATATTTTTCATTGCATCAAAGGATTTGGCCTACGACAAAATTAAAGAATTTATTGAACAAAATGAGAACCAATTAGGAAAACGTCTAAAAATTCTTAGAACTGATCGTGGTGGAGAGTTTTTAAATAAAAAGATGCAGAAGTTTTTCAAAAATAAGGGTATAATTCACCAGCTCACTGCCCCCTATACTCCTGAGCAGAATGGAGTTGCAGAGAGGAAGAACCGGAGCTTAATGGAGATGGCCAGGTGCATGCTATACGACGCGAATATTCATATCAAATTCTGGGCTGAGGCTGTCAACAATGCGAACTATATTCAAAATCGACTTTCATCAGTTTCTGTAAATAAAACGCCTTTTGAGTTATGGTTTGGCAGGCCTCCAAATTTGAGCCATATTCGTATTTTTGGTTCCGCTGCTTACGTCCATGTTGAAAAACAAAAACGCAAAAAGTTGGACGATGTGGCTGTCAAATGTATTCTGGTTGGATATTCTGAGGAGAGCAAAGCATTTCGTTTGCTAAATACTGATACCAATAACATCATAATAAGCCGTAACGTGAAGTTTTTGGAATCAAACGATTTTCTTGATGTTCCGAAGAAAGATAACAATTCTGACGAAAATATGGTAATATCTGTCTCTACAATCAATTCTACTAATGTTTCGCCTCTTGCTCATGAAGAAGAAGATAATAATTCGATAAGCACAGAAGAATTTTGTGGCTTTGAATCAGCTGGGGAATTTTCATCGTCTTCTGACGAGGAAATTTTAAATAATGACGTAACAATTAATCCTGATGATACTCCTCGAACTTCTTCAAGATCAAACAAGGGTATACCGCCTAAAAAGTATGGGTACAAAATTTGCGTTGAAGATGATCCAACAAATTTTGGAGAGGCTATGTCCAGATCGGACGGCAAGAGATGGTTGATGGCTATGGAAGAGGAGATGAGGGCATTGCATGAAAACAAAACGTGGGACTTGGTGGAGTTGCCACGTGATGGCAACTTGGTCGGCTGTAAATGGGTCTTCAAAGTTAAACATAAATTTAATGGTGAGAAGGAGTACAGAGCTAGACTGGTCGCAAAGGGATTTTCCCAAAAATACGGCGAAAACTACGACGAAGTTTTTGCTCCAGTTGTAAAGCAAGCTACTTTTAGAAGCCTGTTGGCCATCGCAAGCTATAGAAATATGAAAGTTCGTCACGTTGACGTCAAAACGGCGTTTCTTTATGGTGATTTGGACACCGATATATATTTGAAACAACCTGAAGGTTTTATTATACCTGGAAAAGAAAATTATGTTTGTAAATTAAACCGAAGCCTCTATGGGCTGAAACAGTCGGCAAGATGTTGGAATCTTCGTATCAACAAAATCCTAATTGATTCTGGATTCAGAAGGGGAAAGGCTGAACCCTGTTTATATGTTAAAAGTGATACGAACTCAATCACATACGTTCTGATTTACGTCGATGACATTATTGTTGCATCTAAGACTGATGAGCAAATTGAAGATGTTTTACGTATTCTGAAATCCCACTTTGCAATAACGGAATTGGGTGATTTAAGACTCTATTTGGGGATAGAAGTGAGCTACAATAATGGTTTATATTATTTGTCACAAGAACGTTACATTGAAAAAATATTAAATGAGTTTGATCTTCAAGATGTTAAGATTTCTTCAATACCCATGGATCCTGGATATTTGAAGGAAACTACGAATAATTTGCTTGAAAACAATATCTTATACCGGAAGGCTATCGGATCACTGCTGTATATCTCTAACAATACACGTCCAGATATTGCATTTGCCGTTTCAATATTATCTCGAAAAATTACTTGCCCGAATGAAAGAGATTGGACTGAAGTCAAAAGGGTTCTAAAATATCTAAAAGGGACTAAAGACTTGAAATTGCTCGTTGGATCTAAGAGTGAATTGGAGTTGAACGGCTTTGCTGATGCTGATTGGGCAGGCGACATCAATGACCGAAAATCTACAAGTGGGTTCATTTTTAAGCTTGGTGATGCTGTCATCAGTTATGCTAGTCGAAAGCAAGCAAATGTAACTTTATCATCTACCGAGGCAGAATATGTGGCTCTTGCTGAAGCATCTCAGGAACTCTTATGGATTATGCAATTAATGAAGGAATTTGAAATCAACATATCCAGTCCGGTCATTTTTGAAGACAACCAGAGTTGCCTCAAGATACTTCAAGATGAGAAAATAAGCCCTAGAAGCAAGCATATAGATGTTAAGTTTTACTTTGTTCGCGACTTGTATAGATCGAATAGCGTATTATTTAATTATTGTCCAACAAAGTCTATGTTAGCAGACATTCTAACCAAGCCTTTACAGAAGGTTAACATATGTAAATTTCGAATACTGATTGGATTATGTAATTTAGATTAATTCGTTATTTTTATATACATACATATCTTTTGAGCTTATATAAATTAATTTTAAATAATATTTGTAATATTAAGAAGGGGTGTTAATAGTTAATTTATATAAACACTCAAATCAACATTGTAATTAACTGTGAGGACACTTAATGTTTATGCAAATGTCTACAACTTTGAAATTTGTGTCATACGCCATTATATGTACATACACATTTTCTTTTCCTCATTACTTCTAATAAACTGATCTCAACAACAATTTCTGCTGATTTTGCTGTTTTCTTCTGGCCACATCTTTGACGTTGGACTACGCTACTAGAATCATGGTAACGAGCGATGGTACGAGACCCAAAAGATTTATTCACATTTAAATGATGGAGTGCTCTAACGATAGCCACTTGTGATTTTCCAGCCAAATATAAAGAAATCACACTATCACGCTTGAATTCCACCACGAATAACGTTTTTTCTGGAAAATTCTCACCAAAATGCTTTTGTACGCTTGTAAACAATATATTGAGCTTTCACTGGAATAATTTTAACAGCTGTTGTAATTTTGACAGCAGTCTGAAGTTGGTTGCAGTTTTTTTTCATCTCACCCTTTAGGTCCACCTTTTCCTATAGACTCCATGTATTGCTACATCCTGATGTTCCGTATTCCAATGATTTAAAATTCATTTTGTAATTGAGTTGTTTAAAATTTTGTACTTGGAGTTGGTAATTGGTTCTACCTGCTGTGTTCTGCCGTTATAAACTATTAATTTAATTTTAAACGATTTTTAAACGAAGAAAATGTGATCTAAATCGTCAAAATACTATTAAAATAATTTTAAATTAATACTATATTAAAAGTTTATTACCAGTTTTTTTCTATGGCTAATGCTTCTTACAAAAGAACAAAGACAAGATATGATGACCTCTGTCAACCATTGCTAAATGAAATAGACTACTCTCCTACAAGTTCTCTTTACTATACCACATTTTCTAAACAAAATATGAAATCATAGTAGGCTTTTAAAATGCTTACCATTTGGTTTTGGTTTGTTTTCCTTGTTGTCTTCATTAAAAATATTCTAAAACAAAAATTTGCAAAAATAAAATCATGTTTTTTCATATTTTTTTTAATCACACTTTCTCACCTGTGGTGTAACTTTTCGTTTTCGCAATTTTTTTGCAAATATTTCATCCATGTTTGATGTTTCAGGCGGCATATTCTGTAAGCAATGCTTATAAATTATTTATACTTAATTCTTTTCACTTTTATTATTTCTTATTTTACTGGTACGGAAATAAGTCAAGCTCATATTTTATTAACATAAATTATATCTCTTACTTACATTCTTTTCATTCGCCAAGTTTTTGTTTGAGATTTGTCTGAAGTCGACACTTTTTGGGTGTTTTTCTACTGGACGAAGCTCTTTAAATTTGCTATATGACTGGCAAAATTTTTCGTTTATATTATTCGATTTATAATCATATATGTCATCGTTTTGGCATACATCATTCACCCCATCTTTTGATAATTTTGTATATTTCTCATTTAGATATTGCAATGCACAACCATTATCCTGCAGCTTAGAGTTTTTCAATTTGTTTGGAGATTTCGTCAAATCGACAATGGGAATCACAGCACATACTGTCTTCCTTTCAGGTCGAGGATTTAAAATTCTTAAAAACAAAACACATAGTAAATTTAGGCCTGGGCTTTGTTTTAATATTACTGTGTGCTAACCTTGTTCTTTTGGCGCTTGAGGTTTTTTTCTTTCTAGCCGTTTCCTTCTTAGATGTCTTTTTCTTTTGAATTTCCGTTGCTTCTGGTTCTTCAATGTAATTAAAAAACTTTCGTTTAAGTGATTTCGGTTTATAATTCTCAGATTTTTCCAAACTGCAATTGGGATCTTTTGCAATAGTTATAGTGTCAAATTCAGTGTCCTCTGACGTAGATTCTTGTCGCATTGAATTTGGAGTATTAGTAACGTTGTTAAGAGGCCATCTTTCGTTGGTTTCATTTTGCATATCTAACGAGGAATAAAGTTGTTTTAATATCATGCAACAAATACAAACTGCAGGTTCAAAAGATAATTCTATTAAAAAGATTTGTAACATCTCGAAATATACATTTTAGACCCCACAAAGTATACATATATTTTTGATCAGCATAACATTTTATGTCGATTTAACGATGTCTGTCTGTCCGTCTGTGGAAGTCACTCTAGATTCCGAACGAAATGAAGTATAAGTATGGTAAAATTTTACTCAAATGTATATCATGTCTGCAAGACTTGTGGTATTGAAAATGGGCCATGTACCTACATACCACGTTTTGCTATAGCCCCCATAAAACGGCACCTCCCGATATTCGGTATTTTGATGATTTTAGCGACATTATTTGCCGGAGATGTTTCAATCTTTGTATTTGAAGTTCATAATATATATTACAGCCTATGACAGAAAATTGTTTGTGCAGGTCCACATTTTGGTATAGCCTCCATATAACTGTACCACCCGCTATTCGGCATTTTGATGATTTTAGCGACATTATTTACCGGAAATGTTTCAAATTTGGTATTTGAAGTTCGTAATGGATACTGCAGCCTAAGACAGAAAATTGTCCTTGTAGGTACACGTTTTGGTATGACTCTCATATAACGGTACTTCCCGATATTCGGTATGGTGGTGATTAAAACGACATTATTCACCAGAAATGTTTCAAATTTGGTATTTGAGGTTCGTAATGGATACTACAGTCTATGACAGAAAATTATCTGTGCAGGCCCAAGTCTTTGTATAGCCCCCATATAATGGTACCTCCCGATATTCGGTATTTTGATGATTTAAACGACATTAATTAACCGGAAATGTTTGAAATTTTGTATTGGAAGTACGTAATGTATACTACAGTCTATGACAGAAAATTGTATGCGCAGGTCCATGTTTTGGTATAGCCCCCTATAATGGTACTTCGATGATTTTAGCTACATTATTCGCAAGTTTCGCATTTAAGTATTATAATGGCTTATGAAAAAAGTTGCTTATGTAGGTCCACGTCGTCGTATAGACCCTAATATAACGGCTACATTCGGTATTTTTAAGATTTTAACAGAATTATGACAAGTTTTTTTTTTTTTTTTTTTTTTTTGAAATTGCCAAATTCCTTTCAAATGGTGGAGGGTATTCAAAGTTCGGTACGGCCGAACTTACAGCTTTTTACTTATCTGCTATCAAATATTAAAGTTCACAATATGCATGATTTCTGCTCCTTGTACCCAAAATCTCTAAAATACCTTTGTAATTGGTCTCATTTTCATTTTTGAAATATTCGAGCATTTCGTTGTTTGCTTTTATTCGATGTTTTTCCGCTGTGGGTAAATAAATTCGCATAATATTGAGATGTTTTAAGTCTGTTTGCATGTTATGGGGCAAGGATAAAACGCTTGACTTGTGAATGGTAATTGATAAATAATCAACCTCCCTGCAATAGATGGAAAATAACAATTATTTAAAGAACAATTAAACTTTTTATTATTGACACTTACAACTCAATCCGATTCCATTTCAAAATAGTATTAAAATCCTTCAATTTATATGAGTTGCACTCGGATTTTATGCGACATTTAAATGAAATAGTATGGGAATAGTAATTCAAATCTATCCAAAACTGTTCAGAGTGCTGAAAATGCGACAAAAGTAACTATAATTCAAACATATATATTTATATTGTGCAATACATACCGGATGAAAAAATTCGTAGTTATTGAAGACAACCTTTTTGCAGTAGAACGAGTATACCAAACATTTATTTGATAAATTCATATTGAAATTATTTAGAAAATCCCGGCAAACCTGGAAAAGTCATAGAAAAAATCATAGCATATTTGATTTTATTTAAAAGCACAATAGAACTAATGTAGAATATTCAACACTCAATTTAATATTTTCATGTATTTTCATTTAATACAACTAATGTAGAATGTTTAACACTCGATTTAATAATATTTTCATTTACTTACATTGTAAAAAACGTCCAATCGTTGGGTTCCATCGACTACTTTTTGTAGACTCTCTCTAAACTTTTTCAATTTAATTAGTTGTATCATTTTTAGTTCTTGCTCCCTTTTAGTATAGCTAAGGCTATTCAAAAGTTTTGAATAGATGGTTAAGGCCAATAATTGTGTATTGAAATCTCCAACAAATGAGATGGTTTTCCATAAGCATGATCTGTATAAAACATTAAGCTCTAGATTAATAGAAATAGAGCTGGCGATAGCAAGAAATAGGACTTACATGGTTCCTCTCTCAAACTTCTCAAATTCCTTTAAAACATTTGGTTGAGAGTTACACAAAATTGTATTCATTATCTCTAACAAAGTAGAATGATAATTTGGTGCATCCTTTGCCCTAACTTTATATTGCAAGCAACCAATTATATAAGTTATTGCTTTTGGTATAGTCAGTTCGAATTTTCGTATAAGTTGGACATTTTTCGGATTCATGGATACTTGCATTTTCTGTAAAATTGGGAATATTTTCAGTTCAACTCACACTTTGGCACAAAAAAAAGTGAAGGATTCACATCAGCGTTACTTAAAATTTGACGTACTCAGTCGAATTTTTTCACCACACAATTTTAATACATGTATTTTTATGAGAGTTACCCCAATTATTCAAATTTATAACTTGTATAATTTCAACATTGACAATCAAACAAGTTAAATACAGGGTGAGATAAAAAACTGCAACAAAGTCAAACGCCATTATTTTTAATTTTTTTTTAATTTATTGATTATTGAAAGCAAAAAATGTCCGAATTACCACCAAATTTTAGAATAAGTTTAGATTTGTTCGAATTGGTCACCTTTGGCACGAATTATGGCCTTGAAACAGCCAATGAAACCGTCACACGCTGACATAATGTTGCTCTGCGGTATTTTGGTCCATTCCCGGCGAATCATTTGCTACAGGCGATCGACACTTTTGGTATTTTTAGTGCCAACCTTGCGTTGCAAAATACTCCAGACATAATAGTCCAATAGATTGGTATCAGGAGATTTTGGTGGCTATTGTGCACTGGAAATGAAGCGAGAGACCTAATTTTGTAACCATTCTTGGGTGGCGCGTGCTGAGTGCGATGGTGCTGAGTCCTGTTGCAATGTCCGAGGTCTGCGGCCAAAATGCTTGCGTGCCCAAGGCTTTAATACATCCTTCAGAATATTTTCGTCTATTAATACGCGCGGAGAGCGACCATCGGCTGTCATGGAGCCCTCCCCATGGCCGACGCTTGAGTTCTGGTGCACATTTTCAGCTGATCTCTTTGGCAAGTAAAGACGATCATTTTGTTCGTTTACAAACTGCTGTACAACGAATGTTTTCTCATCGAAGACGGAGAAAACGAAATTCGGCAGTTCACCACTTTCGGCAACTTTTTAGCTATTTCCTTTCTGTGGCGGTGTAAGTTTTTGCACTTTTGGAAATGTTAATGACTTTACCCCGAGCTCATTTTTCAATATTTGCCGAATGGAATATTGCAATATGTTCAGCTCAAGAGCCATTTTTTGGCCACTGCAGCGCGGGTTTCCATAAAGTCGCTTCTTTACTTTTCAAACCATTTCTGCTTATGTTGCTGTTTTCTTCCGTCCACTGCCTTGACGTCGGGCTACGCAACCAGTGTCACGGTAACGAGCGATGGTACGAGACACAAAAATTTATTCACATTTAAATGCACACTATCACGCTTGAAATCCACAACGAATAACTTTTTTCTGGAAAATTGTCACCAAAATGCTTTTGTAAACAATATAATGAGCTGTCACGGACGAGTGGCTTAGAAACGACAGCAGTCTGAAGTTGTTTGCAGTTTTTTCATTTCACCCTGTATATGCTCTCTAGCCATATGGCTGAGGGTATAAAAAGTCTACCGTCCTAAACCTGAGCCCTATTGGGATTTATTGAAATCAGTCATTCACACATAGCTACAAAACTTACCAAATATAAACGAAACCATTTCACTATGAACACATAAATTCCCGGAGTTTTGTTATCCAAAAGTCTTGGTAAGTCAACAAAGCGCCCAACAATTTGTTTCAGATGAATTTCTCTCTAAAATTTCCATTCTCGTAACCAATATAATTTGATATTAACAAAAAAACTTACCGGTTCATCTAAAGTTTTTGCAATAGTTTCCGCCAAAGTATCCAATTCTTCAATTGTAGACTGCATTTTAAAACAATTTACTACATAACATAAATGTTTTAAGCGTCACTTCAATTAACGGTAATTTTTGATTTATAGGAACATGTAAATCGAAAATTCCAAAAGCAAAGGATTGCTCAAAAGGTAGATTATCAGGTACTCGTAAAAATAGATTCACCTTGACTGCGGCAAATTTGCTAACCAATCAGGAACAAGATGTTTGTTTACTTATTGTTGTATACCTTGTATTTGTCGAACGCACTCAGTAATTCGAAATTAGAAAACTAAAAAAAGAATTTATATTCTAAAGGAGCACCGAAAAAATAAATTAACAAAATAAAATAAACGAAAATATGTTTTTTAGAATTGGTAAAATATTTAAAAACACATATTTTAACAACCTCTGAATGGTATTGCGTAAAAATGCAAGTAAAATGCTTTTAGAATCAACAAATTTTTGTAAACATTTTTGTATTGTATTTGATATTTCAGTATAGCATGTGCTGAAGCATCTACCTGCATTCTTCTACCATGGTATTCGCCGTCGTTTGGCTTCGTTGTCTGATTGAGTAAATAGCGCCTCCACGCTGACAGCTGTGAGAGAGTTCTTTCCATTGTGTACAGAAATGGGATTGTTGGCCGACTTTATATTCGCCATGTTAATGGCTAATAAATCATACCAAAATAAAAACCTAGTTACAGTTACCAATTAAATACTAATTTTGGTTAAGTTTTACCAACTACGGCAACCGTGCACAGCACCGCCGCAACTAGTTCCGCGGCTCATTTAATGAATGCTTTCAACTGAACACGTTTTGCTCATGTCTCATTCGTAAACAACCAACACACTCGGGGATTTAGCTTTCTCTTCATTTTTCATCGTCCATTCCTTTTTGCTTTCTTATTTGTTTTGTTGTTTGTTTCATTTTCATTTGGTTTTCCACGCGCCATGATCTCGGCCTATAAGAAAAGAAATAAAAATAAAATAGATAGAAATCCGCGCTTTTATAATAAAAACGAATAAAACGTTTATACAAATTTTCAGATTTCCTTTACATCCAAGAACAAGTCAAGTTCGGGCGCATCGGGGAGCCACTGCGCTACTCGAAATCCAGCACGTGGTTTTTTTCTTTGGCTAAAAAGAAGTTGGCGCCTAGAATTAGTGGATAGTGACAACTAGGATCACAACTCAAAATGGATCACTTATACGTCGAAATTTTCACGAAAGATGAACACATCTTTACTAGCATCAAGTCTTACATAGCTCTTTATGTGTACTTGTACTTGGAACAACCACAAAATATTAAGCTTCATTTTGTGCTCTCTAAATCATGTCCTGACAATGGAAAAATAAGGCTTAATGCAGATTACTTGAATTTCAGTTTAAACGATGATCGTGTAATTTACAAGGACACCACTGAAGAAGAGTCTCTGTGGGATTTGCATTTGCCGGTTTACAACAAGGACGGGGACACATTTATTGCAGGAATGTGCGCTGTATGTCGGGAGATTTTATTGAAACATGGCAGCGAAAATAGTCGAAAGTTATTAGGTTTTAAGGAAAGTTGTTTGCTGGCAACAACCGAAGCCTCTATGTGGACCCGCTTCTGTGAAGTGAATATAGTATCTGGGCTGTCGAATGTCATAAAGGCGATTGAAGGACAATGTGATCTTGTCGAACTTCCTGTGGAATGTGTGCGTTTTGAGAACCATATGGCTGAACCTGTTCGTATGCATAATATCTATAAGCTGGCACGTGAAAAGGCAAATGTCGAATCAAAGAAGAAGGTCACAATTGAAAGCTGCATACCAAAAGATAAACTAGCAATAGACCATACGTTTTCCGAAGGTGTACAGTTTACAATTGCAGATTTAATACTTTATCCCTGCATTCGCCTTATCTTTATGGGCTGCGGTATGACTATACTGGACTATTTTCCATTAACCAAGAATTGGCTAAATAAGGTATGTAAAGAAGTAGTATCCAAATGCTATACAAATCAAGCTACAGATATGCCTCTTCTATTCTTAGGTTGACACATATGATCCGAAATGCTTGCAAATTCTAAACGAGTCTTGTCTACTTCCTGCCAACAAAATCAAAAATTATTTGGAAATTCCCAAATGCGAGGCTACAAGTCTTTATAAAAGTGATCCCAAAAGGTATAAGCCACGAAATCGCATTTTTACCGACCAAAAAGGGGTAGACGCTGCACTCAACAAACTGCAAAGTTTGAACATTCCATTCACTAGTATATCAGAATGGACTTATGACAATTTTACTATTAACTGGCAAAATATTGAACCTTCCCATGCAAAAAGCTCGGCGTTACCCGAAAAAAGATTGGCAAGAAAACGACAACAATTGGAGAACTTGGCGAATGCTGTTGTAAAACTTGCCAAGCCGGGGGATCGTATAGTTGATTTTTGCAGCGGCACTGGACACTTGGGTATCTTGCTGGCTCTGAAGCTTCCCCAGTGTACTGTGATTTTGTTAGAAAATAAATCGATTTCCCTTCAACGAGCCAAGTGCAGAACGACAGAGTTGCAATTGAAGAATGTAATATTTTATCAATCTAATATAGACTATTTTGAAGGAAAATTCGATATTGGTTGTTCGCTGCATGCCTGTGGAACTGGAACGGACATTGTTCTGGCACAGTGTCAAAGAGCAAAGGCCAATTTCGTTTGTTGTCCCTGTTGTTATGGTTCACTGCAACCAATGCCGCACATTAAATATCCCTTGAGCAAAGAGTTTCGGTCTGTACTATCGGAGAATGAATATATGTATATTGCTCACACGGCTGATCAAGCACATGCTTTGGGAACATTAAACTGTTCAGAGGAACACACGAGGCAAGGCCAATTGTGCATGGACATTGTGGATACAGATAGAAAACTGAAGGCTGAAAGTGCTGGCTATAATGTTATTTTAACACGGCTAAAACCCGAAGATTGTACACCAAAAAATAGACTGCTGGTTGGTAGAAAGTCCATAGGGTCCTAACTTCGTCATATGATTTTTAGTTTAATTTTTATTTTCAAGAAACCCAGCCTTTTTTCTTACAAATGGTAGTTGCTGTAGTTTAATTCCGTAAACAACAACATATTTATGTACACAACTTGCGATATATCTTTCTTTATTGATATTGTGTGATCGATACCCGTACTTATATGTATGTATGTATGTATAAAATATATGTATGAACAAATCAACGAATTCTGTTGCCAAAAATGTATTAACGTCTTTATATTCTCGTAGAACTATTGTTTTTAACTTTAAGGCTTCTTTAAGGATTGTAGGTGTATCATGGTTAATGTTTTTAAATGGGCTTTTGGCTTTCATCAAAATCTAGTTTATTTAAGAGATTTTGACTGCCGTTTATTTCGTCCAATTCCGGATCGGCATATTCTAATATATTGAAATCATCGCCAATTTCCGCAGTCAATGATTTGAGTATTTCGTCATCATCACCCTCACCAAACCCTCCCAGAATGTCACCAAAGGCACCAGTTTCATCGGCCTCAAGCTTATCAACCGCAACATTGTCTTTAGGGTCTCCTAATTTGCTGACCCCTGGCCAATTTTTATCCGTTAGGAATATGTCATTACGTTCACAAAGCTGTGAAGCGGCATCTGATTTATTGGAGCCATATGCTTTTGATAACTCATCCATGGTCGAAGCGTTAGTATGCTGTTGTTGCATGGCTGTGTTGGAATGAGAATGCATTTGTGGATTAAAATTTGCTACAAATTGTGTTCGGGGCGGCTCTTGTTGCTGCTGCTGTTGCTGTGGTGGTTGTTGGTCCTGCTGTGGTGGCATTATTTGTGACAGAGTCGGTTGACTGCATTCAGAAATACTCATGGGATTCATTTGTTGTTGTTCCGTGGAATGATGCGGCTGTTTTGAAAGCTTGTTCTTCGAGTGATCACCACTTAACATATTCAAATCATACATGGATTGTGGTTGCTGCTGCTGCTGTTGCAGCTTTTGATTGATAACGGCAGGTTGGGGTTGCGGCTCCGTCCGGTTGTAATCACCAACAAATGCTGAATAGGATCGAAAGGAAATTGAAAAATAAGATACTGTTTGACTAAATTCTAATATACTTACCGTTTTTATTGAATTTATTACCATATGTTTCTTTATTCTTTGCTTGGTGTTGCTTCCAAACCCTTTCCTGTTCCTGTTCTTTAAGTGACTTTTGTTGGAAATACAGCTTTTCGGGTTCCTGTTTAAAATATACAAGATATTACAATGAAAATCACACAGAAACGTTCACAGCAATACCTGTTGTGTTCTTCTAAGCCGTAGAACGGAACGATTGTCCTTGGCCTGTTGAAGGAACGGTGCCTTCATTTCGGTCGACAATGATCTCCATTTTTTGAGAATCTGCTTACATCGTTCATTCCAATTGGGATACAAATGTTTCAATTCCGGATGTTGAGTGTTGGCATATAAGACGGCCGATATTGTGGCCATTTCCCCTAAATCTGAAGAAAACCAATTTATACCAAGTCATGCAATCAGTTCGTATGTAAAGCGAAAAGTCACGGAACATACCTTCATCCTTGCGCATCTTCTCAGCAGTTTTTTGTGTACCGGCCACAACTGCTTCCTTGGCGGGCTCTTCAATGGGCATGGGTACATCAACGGCCGTATCTGGCGCCATCTGCTCGTTTACATTCACAACTTGTGATAGCATTATGTCTCTTTCAATTTTTATTTGACTCAGCATAGGATCCTCCGATTTTTGGGTCAAATATTGTGCCGGATTTTTATTAGTTGTTGACTGCATAGCCATTGGATCGTAGGATGTTTGGTATGTTAAAATATGCTGTTGCTGTGTTTGATGTTGTTGTGGTTGTTGGAGAATTTGTTGCTGTTGATGCTGCATTTTCTGTACTCCGCCACTGTTAACATTCATGTTGTTGGTGTTGCTTACATTACCTTGTAAGAAACTTTGCTGTGAAAGTTGCTGAGGAGGGTTAGCCTGAATAACAACGGGATTAGTTTGTACCATGGGAACATTATTGCATTGTTGCCTGTTACAAAAAAAAACAACAAAATGGGTTATTTCAAGTATAACGTTTATGAGCAAAGTAATAATAGTTACCCTATTTCCATTTTTATTGAGTTGATGTCCATCATTTCACTATTGGATGACATACCACAAGTTTCATTCATAATCTAGAAAAAAAGACAATGCAGTTTTTTTTCCAAAAAACAAAAATAGACGGCTTACCTTATTGACATTATTTTCGGAAATCATTGCATTCAATTGTTTTTCATCAACCTGACAACTATTCGCAGCAAGCAGATCATTGTTATTAGTATTGCTTTGCATACAAGCACTTTCTTGTTTCACATTAACTTCATTTTTGACAACATCCAATGTTGGCGCAGCCATTGATGTGTTCGCAGACGTGCCATCGTTAGCAGATGCTGCAGTCTCGACAGATGAACGCGCCTGTTGCAAAAGGTATGATTGTGTTTCCATTGTTATGCCACAGTCATCTGATGAATTGGATTCGTCGCCAAAGTCAACTGACGACTTATTTTCCAACAACGACTTTCCAAAGAAGGCCTCCTGCAGATAAGAAGGATAGGATTCGCATATTTTTGATTTAAGTTTTTTCTTGATGATCTTCTTCTTTTTCTCATCCGTGAGAGAGGGATTCTCCAATGTGCCCATGTAGATGTCTTCGTTTTCTTTGCGTATGCCCCGCATACGCACATTAAATCCACCAATGCCAAGTTTTTGTAAATTACGCTGGCGCTTCTTCCGCAGAATGTTGACACCCTCTTCATTTGTGGAAATAGAGAAGCCTTCTGGCTGGCTGCCATCTTCACCTAGCCACACCATGCCGTCTTTGTATGTGGGTGTCGTATTGCCATCTACAGCCGCATTTCCTTCGCCGGCATTTGCATTGCCCGCCACAACAGAATCTATGGCTGACATTATGCCTGCATCCTTTTGATTGATGTCCGATTTTAGTTTTCGCTTCTTCTTTATTTCTGTCGTTAAAGTGCGTATCATGTTGAAACCGTGTTCACTAACACAAACTCCATCTATCCAGAAAGTATTATCGGTGTTTTCAAACGATTCACTTGGTGTCGCCACAGAAGCCGCCGTTGCATTCGAATTATTTGCACTACTTTCTTGATTGGCCGATTGCTGGGGTGTAGTTGGGGTAGCTTTGTGGGAGGCATTGGCGGATTCTGACTTGTTTGCCACCGCTTTCGAAGGCTTGTCCTCTTTTCGACAGGCCTTACAATGATATTCAACTTCCTTCAAGAGGTCTTCTTCCGTTTTTATGTTGTCGCACATGCCGTGCGACCACCTTTCGCAATTATTACACTGTATTATCAGTTCATTTTCATTGTATGCCTGAGAACATACAAAACACTTGGCTTGGCTGGCACAAGGGCCACACTCTAAAAATCCATTAAACCATTGAGAGTTTTTGCCCGGCGAATTGCGCCCACACTTATGACAGACCGCACATAAATTACACTTCCAGTTTCCATTTGGTACTGCATCCAGAGGTGGATTCATGCAGTATATGTGGTAAGAAATATCGCATTCGTCACACAACAGCAGACGGCTTTCGTCGTTTTTCTGACCACATCCTTCGCAAACGGTGCAATCCAGACAACGCCATCCTTTTTGTAACATGGTTTTTGATAACGTCACATTAGCACAGTATGGATGATAACATTGGCCGCATTGGGCACATGAGATAAGACAAGCCTCCTGATCGGTTCCCAAAGCCCCACACATTACACAAATATCTTGCATGAGGATAAATTTATCCTTGGCTGAGCAAAGAATAATTTTCTTTTCCAAAGACATGTCGTCTTCGGAGCACTGGGTGTTACTGTGATCATTATTCGAGTTAGATTGCATCGACGAGGCACTTAACATTGGTAATGGCCGGCCCTTACCTCTCGCACTGCGTTTGCGGTTAATCTGGCTTAGGAGGCCTCCCTTTCCCATGTACAGCCTTCCGACTTTGCCGCCTCGGCCAAAGTCTTTTAAATTTAAACGTTTCTTTGATATTTTAAGCGGGTCAACGGCATTTGTAATTTCCAACGCATCTTTATCGTAAAATTCGGACTCTAAATCTCGAGGAAAGCCATCAGCAGAACCTAAAATTGGATCCAATGCACCGAACCCCATTATATGTTTGCCCGATTTGCATGGTGGACAAATGTAGTCATAGTCAGGATTGGATTCTTTTTTGACGTGATAAGCACTCAAGTCAGCTTCCCCATCGCAGCCACTGTGAACAAAGCTGGAAGAAAACCTCATATAAATTTAGGAATCGTAGCAGACATACTAACGTAGAAAAATTACCGATTGCAATTACTACATTTGACCATTTCCTTGTGCGATGCCGCCCGATATGCTTTATGACAAATGGGACAAGAGAATCCTTTATTGCGCTGTTGGTAGCAGGAATCGCATATGGTGTAGTGGCAATGCCATCTGGAAGAAGAACCGGCTCCTGGTGTCCTTGACCCACAATCGGTGCAGACACGACAACGCTTTAAACGAAAATATATGTAAACATGTGTGTCATCCAAAAAGACGTGAATTACTTACATTACACTTCCAACCATATTTCGGAACCGATGAGATAATTGGCCTCAAACAATTTGTGTGGTATAATTTTTGACACTGCTCACACTTTACTGAACGGTTTTCTCCACTATCCGACTGGCGGCATATTAGACACTTACAGCACTGTTGGCAATTCCAGCCAGAACGAGAATCTACACAAAGTGAAATTTTTGAAATCAATATTTTATGTCAATTTTATTCTTTTAAAAGGAAATAGGTAACCTGGAAAATTTGCCAAACCGACGCAATAGTTATGGTAATGGGCACCACACGTTGAGCACATAAGAAGTTTGGAAATGTCTCCTAATCCAAAACATTGCCTGCACTCGATATTTGTGTCGACAGCTGCAAAAAAACGCACATAATCTGTTAGTATTTATCTTTAGCCAACTGAGTTTAGGAAGCAACCTATTACCTATGAAGGGCACTTGACTGACATGTTCCACACAAAATGCTTGAAAAGATTCAATAATAAGAAAACAACCTGCTGCAGCAGCACAGGGCAGATGGAAATTCTTGGGACAACTCATACGACAATTTATGCTGGCTCCATAACGCAAACAATACGAACATTTCCTTTGCAAACTTTTCACTACCATTTCTTCGAAATTCGTTGTGGCCTCCTCCTCGACACGCTTTAATTGCAGACACCACATCGCGCACTTCGTGTGAATGTATAGAAAACAACCATCGGTTGCAGTTATAGTTTCTTCCAGAGTTGGAATTTCTTCACTGCCCACAACATCCAGCTCATTTATCAGTTCATTATTTATAGTCACTTTAGGTTTAACAACTGCTTTCTTTCTCGAGGGGCTTTCTTCTGCTGAGGCAACATCGCTGGCATCTGCGGTTTTTGTGGCGTCCAAAGCACTTATAAGAGACTTTAATGTTTGCGCATTAACAGGAATCCTGAGCATATCTCCTTGTCCCAATGCCGATTTTTCACTTAAATTGCATAAACAACAAAACTTTCCCGGATATTTTTCCGTAAAATAAGGTAGCTCATCCATATTCCAATTCGTCGAAGACGAGGACGATTTACTTGAAGGCTCTTCCATATTTTACGCTGAGATATGTATAATTTTAAAAAGACTATAAATTCATGGATTTTTCTTAAATATTTAACAAACACGGTCAATTCCCGTGTTTTTGTTGGTATATTCTTTTGTGTTTTTTCGTTTCAATAATGGAGACGCTGTCACAAACTGTGCCTGCTCGTTTCGAGTAACGAGTACTCATGGTACAATAATATCGGTAGCTGCAGCAACACCGATAACTACTATTTTTTAATTAAAGGGTGGTAGTTTCGCACAATCAAACGATGATATTTATTCATTTATTTATTATACAGTGAAATATAATGAAGACAATAAATAATAATTATAATTTTAAAGTAAATGTGAGGGTACATATGCAGCTTGGTATTATGACTATACATATTAATGTCAAATTATAAGGGGAAACGAAGGCAGGATTCGAGTGCGGCCCTGACATCCCTTTATGACGTCATTCGAAGGTTATTATAATACGCGTTTTTCAGCAATTTTTAAAAATTGAAATATTTTTTTTTCATTCTCAATTTTCAATTCCAAACTTAGTTTGACAGTTTGTTCACGGATAAGTGAACATGTTTTTATAATAAAAGAGAATAGCGGGGCTAACTAGTGTAGATGAGAGGGATTTGTTAAACAGGGATCTTTTTAATACAGTCCATAATATATAAGATAAGAAAATGTGGTGAACAGACCTTTGAGTTAGAAATAAATAATTCAATTGCTGCATGTGGTATGTTTGAGTTAGATTACTGGATGAAATCTTAACTCATACTGATAAGGAAGTGCAGCATGTTTGCTTGCCACAAGTGAGATAGCTACGCATGTTTTATGACCTCCCCTAGAATTTATGGCGGCATGGTGCACAGGCATGAGTAGAAATGTATCGCTCTATTTCTCTCTCTCTCTCTCTCTCTCTCTCTCTTACACTTTATGCTAGACTAGGTTAAGAAAAATTATCATAAGTAGAACTTAAGAATTATTTTAAATGAATAAAAACAGTGTAGTAACAAAAGTAAATCGGTGCATACATTTCTTCCGCGTACATCTGGTCCATCGAGCCTTAACGTAAAAAAAAAATAATAATAAAAGAACCAGCAAAATAAATGAAACGTATAACAAAATGGACAAAACTAAAACCCTGATAAAAAACCAAAGAGACATAGTCGACATTCTGGTGATAATTGCGCAGCAGCTGAAAGATCCAATGCGCACTTGTAGAGTGTCCGTAATGGAAAGAACTGCTAGAGGAATATGGGACATTTTCCTAAAAAATCACGAGATATTGATGTCGAAACCGTTTAAATATCTTGACTATTACAAAAAAGATGAATACGGCTACACCCGAGAATTGATGCAGGAAATTGAAAAAGCAATTGATGAAATTAAAACAGGAGAACTAAGATCTCAACAATTGCTTTCGGAAGACTCAACAGAAGCTGAAGAAACTGGAGCAGACAATAAATTGATGGCGGCAGACAATAAGGATGATAAAGGAATGGAGACTCAAAACCTACGTCCCGAAACAGAGGAAAGGGAAGAATTGAGTGCAAGGAGCATTCAATGGAATTTCCCTAGTATGCGGAGTCAAAAGGAGATTGCGGCAAGAGAAACGGCGGTGACGGCGAGCAGACACGATGAGGGGGCCTCACATCTGGGCAAAAAGGCGTCAGACATAAGGGATGTGACTGTGGGGTCATACTCCCGGGAGGACGATTCGTTGGAAAGCTCGGCATCGACCAAGATCGAGTTAGAGGCCAGAGCGATCATCCGAGATATGGAAGAAACGGCGGTGTTGGCGAGCAAAAGCGACGAGGGGGCTTCAAATCTGAACATAAGGGAGTCAGACAAAAGGGATGTGGCTGTGGGGCCATACTCCCGGGAGGACGATTCGTTGGAGAGCTCGGCACCGACCAAGATCGAGTTAGAGGCTAGAGGGATCATACGAGAGGTGGAATGTACCATGATACTGATGGATAGCCTAGAGACGGAAAAGGATATAGAGTTAGCATTTGATTTTATCGCAAAACTTGTGAAGACCGCGGAAAGGGAGATACTAATCGATCCAGAAATTCAGGAACAATGGAGACGACTGTTAATAAAGAAATCAAAAATGTTAGCATCGATCAGAGATGCTCAGTCAAAAATAGCAGAAAAGGTGGAGCAGCCGTACAGCATCATCAATAAAAGGGAAATTGAAGTTCCCACATTCAATGGTGATATAAGTGAATGGGAATCGTTTCATGATCTTTTCAAGAGCCTAGTGCACGATGCACCGTACTACACCAACGTGGAAAAAATGCATAGGCTAAAGGCGGCGGTAAAAGGAGAGGCGAGTCATATAATACAACATCTAAGGACGCAGGACAACTCTTATGACGAGGCGCTACAGTTGTTGAAATTAACATACGAGAATCGGAGGGTGCTATTCAATAAGATGGTGGATGACATTTTGGATCAGCCAACAATGGATAGTGAGTCCACGAAGAGCGTGAAGCAGATGCTGGACACAACAAAGAATAGCATTCAAGGCCTTAAATCCATCAATATACAATTGGAAAACACCGAAATATTTTTCGCAAGGGTTATTTTAAAGAAATTTGACAGAAATGGATTAAGGCTGTACGAACAGCAAACAAGAAAGCCAAGAGAAACACACAAGTTAAGTGACGTTATTCAGTTTTTGGAACAACAATATTTGGCGTTGGAAGCAGAGGTCGAAGATAAGCTGTTTACAATCGAGATGAAGAAGAACAAGGATATCCGTCTGTATCGCTGGGGCAATAAGGTGCTGAAGGAAGCGAAAGTTGCCATGAAGATGCCTGGTGGAAATCATGCAGCTAGAAAAAGGCAGGCTGGAGAGACAAGAAATTATGAACTCTGGGGCGATAAACTTTCAAAGGACTGCAAGATGGCGTTGCAAGAGAACGATGACATTTTTCGCAACAGAAAGAGGACGATGCATAAAACGGATTCAGCCTGGAAATTAAAGCCGGCAGACAAAGGAGGTGGGACGTTCAAGATAGACCGGCTGGAAAGATGGAGGAGTTTCCTGGGTGCCATAACTTAATTTCTTTTCTCTTAAAATGTCTGTTCCCTTAGATTTATTTGACTTTTTATAATTTCTATATTTTATACGTATTTTTGCCCCTGCCAAGAATGTTCACGGATAAGTGAACATGTTTTTATAATAAAAGAGAATAGCGGGGCTAACTAGTGTAGATGAGAGGGATTTGTTAAACAGGGATCTTTTTAATACAGTCCATAATATATAAGATAAGAAAATGTGGTGAACAGACCTTTGAGTTAGAAATAAATAATTCAATTGCTGCATGTGGTATGTTTGAGTTAGATTACTGGATGAAATCTTAACTCATACTGATAAGGAAGTGCAGCATGTTTGCTTGCCACAAGTGAGATAGCTACGCATGTTTTATGACCTCCCCTAGAATTTATGGCGGCATGGTGCACAGGCATGAGTAGAAATGTATCGCTCTATTTCTCTCTCTCTCTCTCTCTCTCTCTCTCTCTTACACTTTATGCTAGACTAGGTTAAGAAAAATTATCATAAGTAGAACTTAAGAATTATTTTAAATGAATAAAAACAGTGTAGTAACAAAAGTAAAACGGTGCATACATTTCTTCCGCGTACACAGTTCATTGCCCCAGCAGCTGTGTTCATGCGTCTACCTATTTTCTTCTTTTGAGCAAGACTCAAAAGTATCAGCGCAATTCATTGTCGCTTCATTGCAAACATTTTATTTTGAAGATATTCCTTAAATATGGGAGTAGAACAGGCAAATAATAGAAGTTTATTGCGGTAATCAATTGTTTGGCATAAGTTGAGTTTAGGGGCTATGCTTGGATTGACCTGAAATTTTTACCGCAGGTAGGTATTTGTAACCTGATTACGGCAATATAATTTTTTTGTGGGGAAATACCCGGTTACCCGGTTATTCGACCCAAAAGTTCGGATACAACATCCGGTTTATATCCGGTTCTACGTAACCGATATCAATAATATGGGTATCATTTGAAAATACCTATCCAACAAGTGGTCACATGACGGGGTAACTGGAACCTGTTTCGGAGAAATTTAGGAAAATGTGCATTTTTGTATGAGTAATTTTTGAAAAACCCATAAAAACTCGAAAATGGACCCATTATAGGGTCTTAAAATCTATACACTATATTATAGCTAACACTATTGCCTTTCCAAAATGGTGTCATATGTGTTGATATCTTTTGTAGTTCCGAAGATATTGACTTTTAAAGTCGTTTCTTATGAAAGCAGTTTGAGTGAACCCAAGTTTTGTGTCGGGTTTAACGTTCTTGTTAATCTGCTTTGTTTTTAATTTGGTGTTGTTAGAATATTATGGATCGCGTAGTCGGTGTTGGACATATCCCAGAGGAGAAAATCTTAAGCCCCGGCCGAAGGCCGGCTACTTACAAAAATTACAATTTTTAGAAAAACTATGGATCGCGTAGCCGGTGTTGGACATACCCTAGAGGAGAAAATCTTAAGCCCCGGCCGAAGGCCGGCTACTTACAAAAATTACAATTTTTAGAAAAACTATGGATCGCGTAGCCGGTGTTGGACATACCCTAGAGGAGAAAATCTTAAGCCCCGGCCGAAGGCCGGCTACTTACAAAATGTACAATTTTTAGAAAAACTATGGATCGCGTAGCCGGTGTTGGACATACCCCAGAGGAGAAAATCTTAAGTCCCGGCCGAAGGCCGGTTGCTTAAAAAAGCTATAAAGGTCAAAGTCAAATGCATCTAGACTGGAGAAAAATATAATTTAATGAATTCTATCTCTTATATCCACGGAACCACAAAAGATATCAACACATATGACACCATTTTGGAAAGGCAATAGTGTTAGCTATAATATAGTGTATAGATTTTAAGACCCTATAATGGGTCCATTTTCGAGTTTTTATAGGTTTTTCAAAAAGTACTCATACAAAAATGCAAAATTTCCTAAATTTCTCCGAAAACCGGTTCCAACAACCCCACTTGTTGGATAGGTATTTTCATAAGCTTTCAAATGATACCCATTTTATTGATATCGGTTACGTAGAACCGGATACAAACCGGATGTTGTATTCGAACTTTTGGGTCGAATAACCGGGTAACCGGGTATTTCCCCCACAAAAAAATTACATTGCCGTAATCAGGTTACAAATACCTACCTGCGGCATAGACAAATGAAAATATAGACAACGAAATGCTCTCACCATTTATCTTCGAAAAAAAACGGATCAGCAGATGTCGTCCATATCGTTTCAGGGGTTTGAGTGGGAATTTTGAAGTCACTCAATTCAAAAATGTTAAAAATAACAAAAACTGTAGGATATTTGTCAGTTGAAAATTATTTCATAATACAAGAAATGTGAAAAGTACGTGATGACATCGAAAAATATGGGAATATTCCAGTGAAATTCTTGAAAAACGATAAAATGTGTTTTCGAAGTCGAGTGGCTTGAACGCGTAAATCAGGATGTTGACTATGCAAAAAATGATGAGAGCCACCTGGAAAAAAGACAAAACTAACTTTTCGTTGTCTATATTTTCATTTGTCTATGCCTGCGGTAAAAATTTCAAAATGATCCGAGCATAGCCCCTAAACTCAACTTGCTCCAATTGTTTTAGTCAAAATTTACATTAGACGGGTTTACTTGCTGCAAGTCTCTGTTAATAGAAGAGAGAGATAAGGGAAATGGAAAAAAGTTGCTGTCTGGAAATCTTCAGGCAATTCCTTTTGTATACAAATAACAATGGCAGAAAAGGCAATGATGGAAAATCATGCTCTATAGAGGGTGAGATGAAAAAACTGCAACCAACTTCAGACTGCTGTCATTTATAAGCCACTCGTCCGACAGGTATTAAATTTATTCCAGTGACAGATCATTGTATTGTTTACAAGCCTACAAATACATTTTGGTGAGAATTTTCCAAAAAAAAAAGTTATTCGTAGTGGAATTACAGCGTGATAGGGTGGTTTCTTTATATTTGGCTGGGAAACTACAAGTGGCTATCGTTAGAGCACTCCAGCATTTAAATGTGAATAAATATTTTGTGTCTCGTACCATCGCTCCTTACCGTGGACGGAAGAAAACAGCAACATCAGCAGAAATGGTTCGAAAAGTAAAGAAGCGTCTTGATCGAAACCCGCATCGATGGTCGCTCTCCGCAGCCGATGGTCGCTCTCCGCTCGTATTAATCGACCGTGACTTCAGAAAAAATGCCGAATATTATCGATACAAATCCGTTGGACTATTGTGTGTGGAGTATTTTGGAAAGCAAGGTTGGCACTAAAAAATACCAAAGTGTCGATCACTTCAAGCAAGCGCTTCGCCGGGAATGGGCCAAATTACCGCAAAGCAACATTTGGGCAGCGTGTGACGGTTTCATGGCCATTTGTATACCATAATTGGTGCCAAAGGTGACCAATTCGAACAAATCTAAACTGATTCTAAAATTTGATGCTATTTCCGATATTTTTTGCTTTTATTCAATGAAATTTAAAAAAAATGTAAAAATTATGGCGTTTGACTTTGTCAAAAAATAACTTACGATTGGAAAAAAATATACAAAATGCAATCTTCAAATATTTATGTAAATTTTATTTTTTCTTTAACGAATCACAAAAATTTTCGATACTACTTGTTTTTATCTTTTTTTTTTTTTTGATATATGCATATTTTACACACAGACATTTTCGTATATATGTGTATGTAGGTCTAAATAATTTGAGAACATTTCTTTTAGTTCATAGTGGGATGGTTTTTTTTTACAAAATTTCTTTTTTTGCATATAATATTAAAAGCCACAACATTATTAATAAATAAACAACAAATTTAGCCTTTTACATTGCATAATTTCAGTAGTACAATAATACCCTTAAATATATAATATGTTATCTTAATTTTCTAAATTGGTATATAATTTTAATAAAATGATAACGAAATATATAGGTACATAAAATAAAATCCTTTAACGGCGGCAATAATTAAGATTCGAAGCATAGTGTAAAAAACATAATCAAAATAAAAATAAAAAAATGTGTAGATGGAAATGTGTTAAAATGTAAAGCTTTGTAATGATGACAGATATGTTGTTGTAGCGATTAGCGATGAAATTTAATTTTTTCTTATTATAATACAGAGATAGTACAGATGAATCGTAAACCATGTGCCTGCACAGCCTAGTTATTTAACAGTGGTTCTTGATCACTGGCGTACTCATCTGCGTTAGCACCATCACCCGGAGTCAACATTCTTTGTGCAGCTCTATTTAAAATATACAAGAAAATATTTTTTATGTGTTAGAGAGTTGTGTTAATTGAAGACATGATGTTCGAAAGTTTTAGTTACAAAAATAGATGAATAAAGAGTTTCTTGTTTGTATAAAGGTGTTGTTATTCTTGTGACAAATTTTGATTAAAAATATGGATGTGTTTAAAAGTTGGCATACATTTGATTAGCATACTCCACACGCTGAGCTGGCGACATATTCAGGTTTCCTTTAGTTTTACGATCATATGCAAATATAACACATGTGGCAATCAGGGCAACTAGAAAAAAAGATAATTCAGAATAATTGTTTTCACATTTAATATGTGTGTAAAAAGTCGCTTACTTGTGAGCCAGCCCAAGAAGAATAATTCCAACCATGTGTGATCTCCATTACTCTTGTCAATGATCATACCAGCAATAATGGTTATTACAGCTAGACCTAAGTTTTGTACTGATTGGCAGCTGAAAATGGTGTTAAATTTTAATTGCAATCTATATATATTTTTTTTCTTAAATTACAGAAATCTTAATGTCAAATGTTCGCAACATGATATGCAAAATGATTTTCTATAATTTATACTCACAATCCATATGCGGTTCCAAGTTGATATTCGGGAATAATCAAAGCCACCAGTGGCCATAAACTTGCTGCCAACATCGAATAGGACAAACCCATTAAAACCATGCCAACATACGGATTCAACATAGTAAATGCTAATAAGGAATGTGCACCAATTGTCGAGCAAGTAGCCAAACAAATCCATGATACATTACGGCCTGTAACATCAATCAGGAAACCAAATACTGGTGAAGCCACAGCTGATATAAGATAAACAATCGAATTAACATTATTGGCCTCCGGAGGGGTGAAATGAAATTTCTTCATAAAGAAATCCCTAAAAAAAGAAACATAACGATGCACTGAATTCTAGCTTCTTCCAAGAACAAATACTTACTTTCCCAAGGCAATAAATGGAAATATGGCCACATAATATGCCACGCATATCACCGAAACCATCCAGAATGTGACTTTAAATGTGACTACATCGCTTAGCTTGGCTATTTCGCCCGAAGGATTTGTATTGCGTTGCAAAATACGTTCAGCCCTCTTGTCCATCCAACCTGCAGAATATTTCATTAAAATTAAGAGTATTGAACAATTTACCAGTTTCTAACGTACCCAATACTAGAGCACACATCAACGATAGGACACAAGTCCCGGCCGCCAATAAAAGGACTACACCCAGAGCATTGTGTTCCTTGTAGATTGAATGGACGTAGTCATAGATGGGCTGCATTACCCAAAAATTCACGGTACTACCGAAACGTGCCACAGATAACTGCAGTCCAAATACCATATTTAATTCCTTGCCCTTAAACCATAATACTGCGTAGTTATTTTGGGCCACCGCCAACGATTCTGCTCCAATGCCAAATATAAACCGGCCCACAATCATTATCCAGAATGTGTTCATTAAACCACCCGTGGCAAACAGTAGTTGGCCTATTAGAAGTATAAACAAATAGATGATGGTTCCTAGGCGAATGCCAAAAACTCGATCTATTAAAAATCCGCCAACAAAACAAAGAACAACATTCGGCCAGGAATATATGGAATAGATCATAGAAAACTGTGTGCTTGTTATATTGAGTTCTTCTTTGAAGACTTCTTGAAGTGCTCCGGGATTGTCATAACAAAAATATGAACCTGGAAAAAACAAAAAAAAATAAATTTACTTTATTCATAAAATAATAGTTACATTAAACACGATTTTGGTTTTTTATATTTAAAAATCCACAATAGCTTGTACGAAAAGAATCGAGCATATCCAATTTTTCGATCTTGCTCGAATATGAGTGAGCATACAGGGTGATATAAAAAAAGTGCAACAAAGTCAAATCCCATATTTTTTTTAATTTTATCAAATGAAAGCAAAAAATGTCGGAAATAGCATCAAATTTTAGAATAAATTTAGATTTTTTTGAATTGGTCACCTTGGCAAGAATTATGGCCTTCAAACAGCCAATGAAACCGCACACGCTGCGTGAATGTTGCTCTGCGGTATTTTGGTCCATTCCCGGCAAAGCGTTTGCTTGAGGTGATCAACACTTTGGTATTTTTTAGTGCCAACCTTGCTTTCCAAAATACTCCAGACACAATAGTCCAAGGGATTGGTATCCGGAGATTTTGGTGGCCTTTGTGCGCCACCAAAACTGTATGTCAAATGAAGCAAAGAACATCAATTTGTAACCATTCTTGAGTGGCTGAGTCCTGTTGGAATGTCCAAGGTCTTCGGCCAAAATGTTTGCGTGTCCAAGGCTTTAATACACCCTCCAGAATATTTTCGCGATAATATTCGCATTTATTCTGATGCTACTGTCAATTAATACGAGCGGAGAGCGACCATAGGCTGTTATGGCGGCCCACATTACCATGGCCGGCGCTTGAGTTCTGGTGGCCCACCGAAGGTGTACATTTTCAGCTGACCTCTTTGGCAAGTAACACGATCATTTTGTTTGTTTACAAACTGCTGGACAACGAATGGTTTCCAGCCAGTTTTCGACCACTGCGACGCGGGTTTCGATCAAGTCGCTTCTTCACTTTTCGAACCATTTCTGCTGATGTTGAACGAGACACAAAAGATTTATTCACATTTAAATGCTGGAGTGCTCTAACGATAGCCACTTGTAATTTTCTAACCAAATATAAAGAAATCACACTATCAACATTTTTTCTGGAAAATTCTCGCCAAAATGCTTTTGTACGCTTGTAAACAATATAATGAGCTGTCACTGGAATAATTTTAACAGCTGTCGGATGAGTGGCGTAGAAATGACAGCAGTCTGAAGTTTGTTGCAGTTTTTTCATCTCACCCTGTATTTTCCTCGTTTTTGAGTGGGAGCAAATTTCGTTCAAAATCGAGTAGATTCTACTCTTGCCGAGCATTATTTGAGTTTTTGTCATAACGTTGTATTTCCGCAACAAGATCACACAACCACCCCTCCCCCCCCCCTCCACACCATCTTCCCCTCTCTATCCACCACTTCTACAGTACACTGTAACATAAAAATCGGTAATGCTCTCACACAAAACAAAAAAGTGAAGAGTAGACTTCGTAAAATACTTCGTGTATTCCTGATCGCGAGCAAGCATCGCATCAGAGTCATGCTTAAGTGCTCCATTCCAAAAAAAAAAAAGAAACTGGAGTATAAAACACTTCAGTATGATACGTACGCTATGTTGATGCCGTCTACGTCTATGCCTACGATCACATTTTTACCGACAACTTTGCAAAATTAACATATGTCTCGGTCAAGTACGATAAAAAAAAAAAACATTTATCTCCGTAATGTCAATGTGGCTGCTTTCATTTTAGATTCTGAAACAAATTGTATACTTGAATATCAAACTTACCAAATCCCAAAAGACACATAAATATCAATGCAAGGAATCGATGAAATCCACTATTGGGGTTACAGCAGGCCGATCCACCACATCCTGCTGGTTCTGGATCTAATTCGTTGTCTTGTGGCCCACGACGGGTGGTAGTCGGCGAATGTTCTTCATTCTCCACAATTGGCAAGCGATCATCGCCCATTTTGTAAGCTGTTATGTGAATTTATTTAGTCTTTACGCCACCACCGAACGAGTGCCAGTAGCCGAGAGAACTTGATGCGTTGATATTCCGAATATGACTGGACACAAAATGCAGTTTTGCCTTATGATTATTGGAAGTTATCGGCCAGCGTGAAACAATAATACAGTCGCAACTGATTTGTGGTATGACAATGTGGATTTGAGGGCGTTTAATTTTAAGTGGCTTTCTCGCAGAGAAATTTATCTCAATATTTGAATTGCCGTACCGTACTCTGCACCCCAGCCAAATCGATCAGAAGCCAGTAGAGATAAAATCGAGGGGTATTAAGACGATTAGTAGAGTTGTAACTTCTATTCAGGACACAAATTTTTCCATTAAAATTCCTTATCATTGAATTATTGCCTTTGTTCGCTTATTTGATGTTGTTTTTGTTGAAGCTTATCGATGTTTTTTAATATGCCCGCATCAGATGCTATTTCATTTCTAAATGATGTTACGCTGTTTAGTTCCCATTGAATAGTTCACGTACCTAAAACTAATAGATAATGTTAATGTCAGTATTTTTGTTGTGTTTTGTTTTAGAATACAAATGTAGGTATATTATTTGCTTAATACTCTATCTCTTTTTTGTTGATACACATTTAAAAAATGCCCTCTATTTGAAACAGTGGCTTTGAAATGAAGTGTGTCCCCTAGTGTGCATTGAATTACACCATATTTCAATAAAGGCGGACATGTGATATGGAAATGACAGACAAAGCAAAGATTAAGCCAAATCAAAGCTCAGCAAAATGAAACTTAAGAAATCGAATAAAGAAAGAAGTCGCACTGTGCTAATTATCGTAAAACAAAAACAACACAGTAATAATTTTTTATCCATTCAAAAAGAAATGGCTCATAATCTATAAAAGTCCATTCTTTGTTGGTTTCTAAATAGTTATGTGGGTAAAATAACAGAAAATTAATGCATATAAGTTGCAGGATGTAATTTTTGTAGTCTTTATGTTAAAGGACATCAAATAGAATTAGAGCCCCAAGATGCAAATATAATTAAAATGTAGAACTGGTTGTGATAAATAATTTTTTAATAGTACTTGAATAAAAGTGTGTTGGACCGAAACGCAATAGAAAAGGGACATGGGATACTTTTGACTTGTTCGCAAATAACTGGTAATAAATAGCTGATGCAACTTGTTCAAAATTACTCTATTATACAATACAATTATGAACTAGACTTGGGAATTTCCTCAAGATTTAAGTCACACATTTTAAGCAGAGCCTCCATATGGAAGGTAATTTTTTATCGCTTTAAATTATTCACGTCCCCATTATTTGGTTTTAAGCAAAAAAATCAACACAATAACAACAAATTTATAAAGAAAGTTATTGACATTTAATTTAGATAATTTTTTCGCAACACATACAAAACTGTTTATTATGATACGCCATTGCCCCCATACTACCACACACAATTATGCATAAATCTACAGCTAAAAGCAAATAATGCAACAAGTCATCAACATATCATTCCAGTCCCCAACTAAAATAATCCATATGTTATGAATATACGGACATTTGTACGTAGGTCTCCAAAGCATTGTAGACAAAGAAATTAGATAAGAGATCTTTGTTTAAAACATAAAGAAAAGACGCTTAATCACTAACATATAACAAAAACAAATTTATTACTTGATAATTATCAAAAAAAAAAAAGAAAATTTCGGATATTTTAAGTTTGCACTAACTAACAAAAATGTTCTGTATTAATGCAAAAAGGCACGTCGAACATAAGAAATCACTTACCGTTGTCTTGTAATCTATTGTTTAACAACTATAATTAAAATAATTATGGATCCAAAATATATCTTATCTTTTTACAAATCCATCCAACACACTAAAAAAGTTGGGGGAGAACAAAAACAAAAAATCGATTGTTAGTGAAAATACGAAAACAAATCACTAATCGATAAATTTGACGGCGTTGGAATTTTACCAGAGCACAGATGTGTTTGTTTTTACTCGGAAGCGAAACTTACGGCGGAAATGCTTTAAGAATACTAGTTTCATACAATTCGCTATTTTATTTTATAGCGCGTTTATATACGAAATCTTTAGCCGAGTTAACCCTAATAATTGACCAATCACAATAAATTGAACTATTCATGGTAGAAGAATACACAGCTGCTGGGACAATGAACTGTCAAACCAATTTTGGAATTGAAAATGTTGAAGGAAAAATTATTAATATTTGTAAAAATTGTTGAAAACCCCAAATTATAATAACCTACGAATGGCATCGTATAAGAAAACATATAAAAATCTACTTATATTTGAAAAAACATTTAAAATTTTTTGACATATCAATGTTTTTCCAAACAGCGTACAGTAGAAATGAGGGATCAAGATACTTGTAATATTAGGACCATTGCGAAAATACATAAGAGGTGCCCAACCTTGTTAATATTGTACAATGCGTTAAACCATGCGTGGTAGAAGAATATGGGTAGATGCATCAATGTTTGTGAACATTGATATGCCAAAATTTTCAAATTGTTTACGTAAAGTTTTAGGTGATTTCCAATCGTAGGTTGTTCTGATGCGGGTTTCAACAATTTTTAAAAATATCAATTATTTTTCATTCAACATTTTTGATTTCAAATTGAAAAATGCCATGCATTTTGACAACACAAAGAAGATCAGCTGGTCTTATCGGAGAACCCCCTAAAAAACCTTATTGTTGTCATTCCTTTATTTCTTTGTTAATCAAAATAAGAAGAAGACCTTTCGTATTCCAAAACGCAAAAATAAAAAATTAATAAATAAATAAATAAGCAAATATTATTTGTTTCTCTCTATATAGCAATTTGATCGTCCAGTTTCTATGTACCTTTCTTACTAATGTAATGAATGTTGAAATATGGATTCGATAAAGGTAAGCGTGTATTCCTATATTTAGATTTTTCGGGATTTCTAACAATTGTATTTTTGTTTTTTTTTTTATTTTTGTCAATCAATTTTAGAGCATATCATTAGGATTTTTATATGGCTTATGGGACAGTATAAAGGGCATGAGTCTTGTTTTTTACATTGATGCTGAGATTCACAGGTTAAATGCAGAAAAAGAGTCTGAGCGTCAACATCGCTTGCAAGAATGCCAACGTATGATGCGTCGTAGCCCATCGCCGATTCCTTCATCAGCGTCTGCCATGTACGAGGAAGAGTGCGCTCGTGTAATAGCAGCCAGGGACGACAACCCAGATGAACGACGTTTAGACAATTTGCCTAAAAAACAGAAAGCAGAGGCATCAATACCTTTTAAGTAAGTGATGGAAGTCCTACCCCATTGTGCCAATAGGTGACCGTCAGAAAAATAACATACACTCAATATTTATTTTCAGACAAAAGAAAATAGCGAAAAAGGTTTTAAAATCATGTGCCCTAAATGGTGGCTTTACCTGGATGAGCATTATTTTATTTGAGCGCATTCTTCTGCCTACATTGAAGTTCATTTTAACCCTGTGTTATGGTGACAAGTCACAGGATCTACACATGATTTGGGGCTGGCTTCAATCAATCCTCTCAATAATTTTTGGCATGATGTGGGTTTTGCCAATCTTTCTCTTAAGCAAAATTGTGTCATCGCTTTGGTTTGCTGACATTGCCAACGAAGCATACAAAGTTCGAAAAGGCAAACCTAATCTTATACCTAGCATAAGTAAATTGGTGGCGGATTTCCTTTTTAATTTGGTCGTACAGGCACTGTTCTTAATTCAAAGTATGCTAGTTAATTTGTTACCAATACCCTATATCGGCGGATTTTTATGTTTCATACATCTCTGTCTGCTCTATTCGTTGTATTCCTTTGAATACAAATGGTTCAATATGGGCTGGGAGTTGCATAGACGTCTTAACTACATTGAAATTAACTGGCCATATTTTCTTGGATTCGGAGTACCCCTAACTGTACTTACCAATATGTCATCATCGATAATTGTGAGCAGTTGTATATTTTCTATATTTTTCCCTTTATTCATTTTGAGCGGTAATGAGGCTAAGCCCATTGTTGGAACAACGTAAGTGGCAATTAAATGTTATACTTTCCTTGGTAATTTGTTTATTTATCGTTTTGTTTTTTTTTTAGTGAGACACCTTTACGTCTATTTTCACCTGTAATATTTGTTTCGAACATAATTTTCGGGGGACGCAAGGTTCCAAAAATAACTGCCAATGTTAAAAACGCACAAACAAAGCACACCGTGTCTCAATACCAACAACGACCACAACACCAACAATCACACCGTCGACATCCTCAGCAAGCAGAAGAGTCAACCAAGCACAGGTTAGCAGACATACGTAGTCAACAACCGCAATTTCGTTACCCTCAGCCTCCATCACGTATCAGTCCAGCTCGTTTAACGCCCACTCCCGAGCGTCAGATTAGGTATGCCGATGGCAGCCGCATTCTCTTACCAACACCTGCTCCCGGAGTTGCGGCAACCGTTTCAACCAAAAGCCAACGTAGGTAACTCTGAAGGTAATGCTGACCACAATCCATTGTGCACGACTGAGTATCAAAAACAACAATAATAAAGAATTTGCTGTGCTTTCAACATTTTTTAGCTAGAACTTTTTTGTATATACTTTTAAGAGCATGATTTCATTTGGTAAATTTTAATTTATTTTTGAAGAAATGAAATTTGAAAATTATGACAAAGATTTTATGATTATTTATACGCTTAGGGAGAAATACAATTTATTTCTAAATATACTAGCATTAGTAATCTTTAAATTTTTTATATATTAAATATAATTTGACGAAGATATTTTATGAGAGTTGTGTGCGTGTTTTAATTCAAGTCAAACAACTCATCTGGTGGTTCATCCTTAATTTCTGGCATGGTATGATACGCTGACATGGCGATTAGGGACAAAGCCTCATATGACATGGTGGGATCCTTGTCCTCTGGTATGTTACAACCAGGAATATCGTTTTTATTTAGAAACTCTTTAAAAATATGGCAAAGTTTAAATGAAGGATCCTGCTTTAGAAGTGATTGCACAACGCTATTCGACAGGCCAAAGAATTTCTCTCCTTGAACATTTAAAGGCAACTTCGTACCTTCCGACAGCGATCTTCTTAAGGTCTCTAAAAGAGCACGATGGCAAATGTCAGCAGTTTCGCCAAAGAAAACACTATCCAAATCATTGTCTGGAATCATTTGAAACTGAGGATAACCGGCATTGTTTAAAATCTTACAAGTGAATACACATTTTCTCTGTGGATCCTTTGGGTGGGCATAGATTCGTGTGGCCACGTAGCCAACCGGATAGATCCAATTCGTACTTTGAAAATTTGGATTAGAGGGAAGAATTTCACCCAATGAATGTATCAAAACATTCGATAAGTTAATAGGCATTTTAGGCTTTCCCAGTGCGTCAACCTCGACTTTGTCCTCACACATAAACTTCAATTTGTCATTTTCTTCCACCAAATTATTACGTTTTTTAGGCCCCCGTTTCTTTGGAACGTTAGTTGTTTTATCATTGGCTTTATCTGTGCTTTCATCAAATCCCTCATGGCGCATAAGTCTTTTTATCAGGAACCTTCTTTCCTCACGTGCAATTTTTAAATCCAATTGAATCTGTGACACTTCATCACATAACGAGGCGTTTTCCTAGAATAAGTGTTTCTTTCAGGATACATTTGAGGTGCGATGTCAGGGGATATACTTACAAAAACCATTTGTTTTATTTGTCTCTTCAGTTTTTTATATTTTGTTTTATATTTCAAATTCATTACCCTTGAGTGTTGAGTATTTTGATATTGATTAAGCATAGAAGAGGACATAGCGGTTGTCTTTAAAAATAATTCCCTTCTCACTGAGTTATTTAGAAAATCTACAACTCCCCCTTCAAGTGACGGGCTCTTTTTTCTTTAGTTCATTAACAATGCGTCGGAAGCCAAATTAAAAAACGTCCCCAACGAATGGAATATGAAATGAACGATAAACAATTAAAGAAGTAAACAGAAAGCAAAATCTTCGAGTACTCTGTTGTTTACGAATGAGACATGAGGAAACGCAATCAGCTGGACACATTCACTAAAAGAACCCGGGTCTAGCACTAATGAGACTTATTAGCTAAGGTTCAAAAACCTAGTTCGGTTATTACATCTTTCCGATATATAAAAAAATGATGCTGTTGGACACATGGTACAATGATATCAAGGTAGGGCTATGATACCATATGATTTAAATTTTTTCATTTTCTTGGCATAATATGTCATCTTTATTTGTTTATGTATGTGTTTTCTTTTCAATAACAAAAAAATTGTTCAGAAAACATTCAAATTCGGATGTTTTCAAAATGTTTATTTCATCGCATGCATCGACAAAATCTAGAGTTTTTGTAGCGAAATAATCCTTTAGAGATATATAGAACCTGGTTTTGAAAAGAAGTGTTGACCTTTCATTCAGTTTTCGCGGTATTCAATTATTTATTCAAAATAAATGCAACAAGTTGTTTGATTTTGTTATTGTTTTGATACTATTTCTGACATTACAAGCCAAACAGGTAGACCTCTATACTTGCAATTGTTTCAAAGTTGACCTACCTTCTTTTCATTGTACCATGGTTGGACACATAAATTGTTTTTCATTATTACAAGTTTCATTTAAGTATGAACTGCCAGATAAGCAAAAGGCCAGACCATCTTCCATTTATCTTTTAACCTAAAGTTTATTGAATTCATGTTGCCATATATTTGATTGATAATATGGCTATAACAGCAAAATTTGTTTAAATAAAAAAAATGGATAATGGATGGTTTAGTTGGTGATGGTGGTTTAGTTGGTGTAGAGTTTGAGTTTCTTGTGAATTTTCAAGATAAATTATTAGGTTTAATATGTTATTTGTGAAGTTTGAATTAATCATTGAATTTGAATTATGTTAGGGTATTGTAGATAGATAATATAAGTTATGGGCCCTGTGGGCTTATTTGTATTTCTTTGTAAGTAAATAAATGAAATTAAATGACGCAAATCGTTTATTTTATATTGAAGAACTGAATTATAAATTTATTTCACGAAATTAGTTACAAATTCGCATTTTATTTATTATTCTTAAACTAAAATTAAGATGCCATTGTGAAAAAAATGCAGTGAATACCTGTTACTTTTAAAAAAGCTTGCCATATCTCTGTAAAAAAATCCATATATTTTAAAGGAAAGATGTAATAATGAGACCCCGATAATGTGAACTTTTTACTTCACTTTTCCTAAAGTAAGGGATAACTTAGCATAGTGGGGAAGTGGAATATTTGTGTACACTACCTTGAATTTTTAGGCAATGCTTTAAAACTACCAAGTGTATTGTCAAATTCTTGTCAGAAGTAGTCTTATGCCTATGCATCCACTCTTTAATTGCTCTGAAAATCGGTAAAAATTTTAAATTCTTGCAGTTCTGCATGGTAAAATTAAGAAGGTAAACTCATTTCAAATAAGCATTACCAACTCTACATTTTCTGTAACTTACCTTGTCAAATTTCACAGCAAAAATACAGGTTCCCATCTCTGAGTTGTGTGTGTACAATGGATTTATGAATATAGATTTTGACAATGAGATGTTGTCAAATGAAAAATTTCGAATTTTTTTCGAAAAATTTTATCATATGATTGCATGACTTTACCTTCTTAATTCTACCATGCAGTTCTGGAACAGAACAAATGTATGCCATTATATCTGACTGAGTACCTGAAAAAGAAGTTTATGCAACTAGTTCCGAAATTCCTTATCAATGAATCTTATAGCCAATCGCTTTTTCGACATATCTCATTCGTAAACAATGGTGGTTGCCCGCGTTATGCATTTTACTACTTTCGTAAACAACACCCTTTCGCTTTCTCTTTATTTTTTATCGGGAATTATATTATGAGTTTTCTTTCTTATTTGATTCGTTTGGGACGGATGAAACGAATGTATTGAATGGTCAGAAGTGAAAAAAGTTTTGCATACCCAGTTTCCAACAACATTTTTTAAATTATAAAATCATAATAATTATGGTGATATGTTGCTTGTGTTTGAAAGAATCCGAAGATGTTACAGATATATTTGGGGATCTCGATGATCGGCCACCGAATGTTGCAATTGTTATAGCAAAGCATTTTTGGTTTGAAGTATATTGTAGAATCAATGTATAAGCAAAATAATTAAATTTACCTTTGTTTTCAGCCTCTCAAAGATGACCCAGCCTTTACAGCAATCTGTATCATATGTTGGAGGAAGCTTATGGATTTTCATGAGTTCTATGAAATGGTCGAAACTGCCCATCAGCGTAATAGCAGACCTGAAATTGTTACTGTAAAAACAGAGACTCCCGCATTGGATACTAAAGATGAACCCAACAACGAAGCCTTTGAAGAAATGGATGAGGTGCCATTTTCTGCCAACATGATGGCGACAAATAAATTAACTTCCATGACCTTAATAGCAGACGAACTGAGCTACAGTAGGCAGTCGGTAGACGACAATGATGATCACAGTTTTGATAAGGGTGATATGTGTTTTAAAGATGAATCTGACGATTCGGATCCTTTTGATGACACGGAAATGGAAGCAAATAACGATGATATACCTTTATCAAAGTTGCTGGGATTGTCTAAAAGCTCAACCAAAGATAAGAATTTATGCGAAACAGCAGTGCAAGAAAATGTAGCCCAAAAGCCTAGACGAGGCCGGAAAAAGAAAATGAAAACGGAGTCCAACATTGATGAAAGTTCAAATCATAAAACAAGAAAGACGAAATCTAAGGAGAAAACAGTTAAGGATATCGAAGAAGAAAGTGCGTACAAAAACAAAATGAAGTCATTCGATCAGGAAATATCACAGTACATGGGATTGCATTGTGATGTTTGCAATATAGCCGTAGAGAACTTTGCTGGTATTAAAAACCATATGCGTTTGGAACACAATATAGACAATGGCTACGTAAAATGTTGCGATAAAAAATTCCACAAAAGAGCGAATCTTTTGTATCATGTGCGTCACCATGTCGATCCAAATTGTTACAGGTAAGGTTTATATCTTTTTAAAATATATTCCAAATTATTGTAAATTGTGCTTGCAGATGCGAAGAATGCAACCAAACATTTTCTGATTACCAATCTCTGCGTAATCACCTTAATGTGAAACATCAAAAGGAAGAGGACAAAATATACAAATGTACAGAATGCCCAAAAAAGTTTGCCAGGAAATATTTACTGGAACAGCACAGGACATTTAAGCACAAAGACCACAAGCAGTGCAAAATGTGCAATAGAAGGTATGAATTCGGAATCTGTAGTTCGGGGCTTATTCAAAATTGAAATATTTTCACAGATATAAAACCATAGAGGAATTAGAAGAGCACAATAAGGAACCCTGTGCGGTAGGGATTATGTGCGACATATGTGCAAAGGTTATATTTGGCCCTGGAGCATTTAAACGCCATCAATTGGAACATGATGGTAGCCAGTCACATAAAGTTCAGTGCGATATGTGCGGATCATGGCATAGAGACAAGTATGCCCTACGGAAACACAAAAGGCGCCACCTGGAACCGAAGACGCCACATGTCTGTGACATTTGCCAAAAAGTATCACCTAGTCGTGAAGCCATGGTTAGCCATAAGAAATATGCCCATCGTTCTGATAGAATATTCGAGTGTGAATTCTGTCACAAATCCTTTAAACGACCTATATCTCTGAGAGAACACATAACCACACATACGGGAGCAGTGCTGTATACATGTCCCCATTGCCCAAAAACATTTAACTCAAACGCCAATATGCATTCACATCGTAAAAACGCCCACCCCATAGAATTTGAAGAAGCCCGTAAACGGCGCAAAAGAATTGGATATTTGGGAGATCAAAAATCAGTAACAACTTGTACAGAAACGGAAACAAATGTGCAACAAAGCATTACCCAAAATTATTCAACATCTACTAAAGTTGGGAGTAATGATCCCATTCCTTATAACAATAATGACGATAATAAAGTAACACCATGATTCTAATAAACCCTGTGCATTTGTCAAACAAAGTGGCGTAAGTAAGCGTAGGATAATCAAAATTGTATGCTTAAATCCTAACAAAAGCTATTTTAGTTCTGTTCCGATTTCGCTACATACTTGTGTTTTACAAGTAGATAGATATACCGATTTTGAAAATTATCCGACGTAATGTCACACGAAGTTTACTGTGGCTTAATTCGTAATGTGATTCTCCATATAAGAATGTACAATTAATTAATCAATTGCTAATTGGAAATTGGGTACAACCATGGTACAATAAAAAGGTAAGGTGGAGCTACCAGCTAATTCATTTTTTTCTAAGTGTGCCCGACTTCTGCCAATTTTGTGTATTTATTTATTATTATTATTTTTTTTTTTTTTTTTGAAAAATGAAAACAAAATGTTTTCAAAACCAATGATTAGAAGGAACGTATATTACGGCTCGCGAATTAAAGCTATTAACCAAATTAGCTATGAGCAAAGGATTTCTCTTAAAAAAATCGGAAAATACACGTGTCATATAAACGTCCGCGACTGAGTATCGAGGGTACCATGATAATAGAATACATTATACATCATATACATGCTTAAATTCTAAAGTTTTAAATAAACTTGCATAATTTTTCATTAAAAATTTTCAATTTCTAAATGCGTCTACCTTTATTATTTTGCTATGGAGATTACTTCCAAGAGGGCACTGTCGTATAGAACATGCATATGTTATTAGTTTGAAGTGCATGCATATGATATTAGTTTAAAGTGAATGCTGCAGTAAAGAACAATTAGCTTTTTTGCCTTTGACTACCGTTCGTAAACACAATCATTATGCTTCGTACTCATTCGTAAACAGAAACCGAAACCGTTTTGTTGTTGTGTACTTCTTTGTTAGCTTCCATTCTTCTTTGTAATTTTCTTCGTGTCGCTTGGTTCAGTGTCTATCCCTCTAATCCTCTAATGACAGAGATTTAATATTACCAATTAAATAAACCCGAATAGATAGAAATACTGTGATTCAAATTGTACTTTAAGAAACGCATTAATTAGTTTTTTGCACATTTGCATTTTTTACGATATTAATATGTTATGCTGCTTGTGCTTAAAGGAATCAAATGATGCTACAAATATCTTTGAAAATTCCAGGCAGGACATTGCAAAGATTTTGGCAATACATTTTTGGTTTGAAGTAAGTTATAAGTTATACACATTATAAATTAATAAGCTGAATTCTATTACTAGCCCCTCAAGGATGACCCAGCGTACTCAGCCATTTGTACGGTTTGTTGGGGAAAACTTATGGATTTTCATGAATTCTATGAAATGGTGGAACAAGCACATCGGCGTTATAAGGAACCCGAAATTATTACAGTGAAAACAGAGGCAGGTCCCTTAGAATACTCATCAAGCAAAGATGAGCCCATCGGAGAACTTGAAGAATTAATGATGGAAGTGCCGGAATCATTGAATAAGACGTCCGATGATGTCCCAGATACAAACGATGATCAGTCTTGTGACAGTGACAAGTTCGACTTCTTCACCAATGAATCACAACATTCGGATCCTTTTGATGATGCAGACGGCAAGGAACATTCACAGGACTTCACAGGTCCAATCTCAACAGCAGAATCACAAAAAAGTCATGAAAGTGCAGCGGAGAACGACTTAAAACTTGAGGCACCGGTTCCTGAGAAACGTAAAAGAGGCAGAAAGCCTAAAAATAAAAGTGAAACTTCTTGTAAGGAAGGATCACAGATTAAATCTAGAAAACCGAAATCTGCTAAAGACAAGGCAATCAACAAACCGGAAGAGGAAAGTGCATACAAAATAAAAATGAAATCTTTCGATGAAGAAATTGCCCAGTATATGGGACTGCATTGTGATGTTTGTAATATAGCTGTAGAAAATTTCGCAGGTGTAAAGAATCACATGCGAACAGTTCATAACATCGAAAATGGCTACGTGAAGTGCTGCGACAAAATGTTCTACAAAAGAGCAAATCTGTTACATCATATACGCCATCACGTTGATCCGAACTGCTACAGGTACTGAAAACAAATCAATATCGTACTTGATATTAATATTTGTATATTGTATGTATGTATATTTTCTAGATGCGATGAATGTAATCAAATATTTTCGGATTACCAATCTCTTCGCAACCACAACTTTATTAAACACCAGAAAGAAGAGGATAAAATATACGCGTGCAATGAGTGTCCCAAAAAATTTGCCAAAAAATATCTTTTGGAACAACACAGAACGTTTAAGCATAAAGATCGCTTCAAACAATGCAAAACATGCAATAGAAGGTATGTAATGTAAAATGTATTCTTTTGTTCCAACTCATAATCAACATTTTATGAATTTCAGATATAAAACTCTGGAGGAGCTCCAAGAACATAACAAAGAACCTTGTGCTGGAGGCAGAATGTGTGATATTTGTGCTAAAGTCATATTTGGTCCCAGTGCCTTTGTGCGGCATCAAATGGAACACAACGGTCAGGCAAAAGTACAATGTGATTTATGTGGTTCATGGCACAAAGACAAGTATGCATTGCGGAAACATAAACGTCGCCACATGCAACCAAAAACGCCACATGTTTGCGATATTTGCAATAAGATATCACCAAGTCGAGATGCCATGGAAAGTCATAAAAAATATGCCCACCGAACCCCGGACAAGGCATTCGAATGTGAGTTTTGCAAGAAATGCTTTAAGCGTCCACGATCCCTGAAGGAGCATTTAAGTACGCACACAGGTGAATTTTTATACACCTGCCCGCACTGTCCAAAAACATTTAATTCTAATGCCAATATGCATTCACATCGTAAAAATGTTCATCCCGTAGAATTTGAGGAAGCACGTAAGCGAAGAAAACGTGTTGGTTATTTAGGAGATCAGCTTCCAATTATCGAACCCCACAAAGTTGCAACCAATAATGCAACTGACACAGGGACCGATAATAGCAATTCCATAGTTAATGTCTCTCCGGATAAGTCAAATGATATTACAATGCTTTAAAATAAAAATTGTACCGATAAAGATATATTGTTTTTAAAGGTGCTTCAATTCCAAATCAATTTGTTCCGAAGAAAATTACTGTATTAGAAATTAAAAGTACAGTGAAAAATTAAAAAAATTAAGTTGCATGAACTTATGTGTGTTTGTTTGCACGATATCTGACAACAATTGTAACAAAATGTTACTCGCTGCTCTCTGTTTACACAAATATTCAGTAGAAGAGAACTAATCTGAACAAAAAATTTGACCGTTGTGTTACTGAGAGTTGCCGGATTTTTCGAGAATATCTAGCAAGTTTATCCAGGTGTTATTTTCAAATTTGAAAATTAAATTAAAATATTTAATTACTTAAGAAACACTGGCATTTTTCATTCATGCATAAAGTTAACTGAATTTCTTGCTAATTCTTATTGAAACGCATCTGTTTACTTTATTTCAAATTTTAGTTTGAGTGAAATTGACTGTGTATGCACAATGGATTTATAAGTAAACATTTTGGCAATGAGATGAGATGTTGTCAAATGAATAATTAAAAAAATTGTGATTATATGATTGCATGACATTACCTTCTTAATTCTACCATGGTTGTACTTTGCATTTGTTTAATTGTTTTCTTTTTTGCAGTGTTAATGTATTTTTATACCAGGGAATAGCGGTTACTAGGTTCATAATTTCATTACAGTGAATAATTGAAGGTATGCATCCTTAAAGCACATTTATACTATAAATTTATTACGGTTATTAGATCTTTCCGATAGATAAAAAGTTATGTTGTCGGACACCTAAATCGTATTTCATTATTACAAGTTTCATTTAAGTACGAACTGTCCGATAAGCAAAAGATCAGACCATCTTGACATTATTTTTAACGCAAAGTTCACCGAATTCAAGTTCCTATATTTTATACTGATAATATGAAAATAACAGCAAAATTTATTTGAATAAAAAAATGGATAACGTAAATCATTTATTTTATATTGACGAACTGAATTATAGGTTATTTCACGAAATTAGTAACAAGTTTGTTTTGTTTATTATTTTCGAACTAAAATGAAGATGCCATTGTGAAAAAAGCAGTGACTACCAGTTACTTTTACAAAAAGCTTGCCATATCTCTGTAAAAATGCATATATTTTAAAGGAAAGAAAGATGTAATAATGAGAACTCGATAATGTGAACTTTATCTTTCACTTTCCCTAAGTAAGTGGACTATAAAGGAAATATATGAGAACGGGCCCCAGTGGGTTAATCTTGGGTGTTTAGATATACGCATTGTAGAAGAATACAGGTAGATGCATCAACGTTGGGGAACATATACATGTAAACTTTTTTAAAATGTTTTTTCAGATATGTCGCAAAATATTTCGACATATTAAGTTCACAGGTGCTGATGCACCGATCAGTATTCTTCTGTCATGATTACAACAATAAATACAAAAATACAAAATTGGCATACGTCGGGCTCAGAAAAATATTAATCAGCTGATGGCTCTACCATACCTTCTTATTATACCATGGCAATAACCAATATTTCGATGTGTTGATGTGGTTACTGAATTTATTGTGTCACGGTTATTCGGTTTACGAAAATAAAATTGTACATATTTCATTTCATATTTTTATCTTTATCGTATTAGTTAAAATAATGTTGGGCTACACAACAAAATAAATAACAACAAATTGATGATAAATTAAATATATAAGTCAACTATATATATATAAAAATCAAAAAGTGTATATTTGTATATGGAATAGACTAAGCAAAGGGAGGAGTCTATTTTGGACAAAAACCAGAGGAACACACAAAAAGTCTTGGAATATCCTATATCCTGGGTGGAGGAGGCGTACCAAAACAACATTTGCAACAACCAGGCCTAGTGCAGAAGTAATTGGTAAAAAAAACTGATGACTTGTACGACTGACGACCTTCACCCCGTTTTCTTTATTTTTTCTTTTCGTCTATTTTTAGGAAAGCAAAACAAATTATTAATTTTTCGAGTTTTAAAATATGCGTTGGACGGTTCATTTGGATGGTGGACCTCGCAGAGTAAATCATGCCGCCGTTTGTGTTGGCGACTTCATATTTTCCTTTGGTGGATATTGCACAGGTAAATTCCAATGAGATGCGGCCTAGAAAATTCAATGGATTTTTGTTGTTGTTTTTTTCGTATCCAACACTACAGGTGATGATTATCGGTTTAGCGAGTCGATTGATGTTCATGTTTTAAATATACAGACTTTAAGATGGACTCTACTACCGCAAAGAAGGGACGAAAATGGAACAGTATTGAAGTATCCGGAAGTACCGTTCCAGAGGTAATTACTTGTTATATTATCATTATTATGTGCTAATAACTTTATATATTTTTTTATTTAAAGATATGGACATACTGCCGTGGCCCATAATGATAAAATATATATCTGGGGCGGGCGAAATGATGAGAGCCTTTGTAACGTTTTATATTGCTTCGATCCCAAGACTTTAAGTTGGTCAAGGCCACCCGTTACAGGTGCCATACCCGGTGCTAGAGACGGACATTCGGCGTGTGTCATAGATAACTGCATGTATATTTTTGGTGGTTTTGTTGAAGAAATCAACGAGTTTTCTTGTGATGTACACGCTTTAAATTTCGATACAATGGAATGGCGATATATTCAAACATTTGGTGTTCCACCATCGTTTCGGGATTTCCACACAGCTGAACATATACATGGGCGAATGTATATATTTGGTGGGCGTGGCGATAAGCATAGTCCATATCACAGTCAAGAAGAAATGTATTGCCCGGAGATAGTATATTTAGATCTTAAGACGAAAGTTTGGCATAGACCATCTACAACGGGAAAAGTTCCAGTTGGTCGCAGAAGTCACTCAATGTGTATGTTACCATTTACTCCATGTTACATTTTTTAATTTACTAAAACTCCTCTTGTCTTCTAGTTATATACAACAATTTAATATATGTTTTCGGTGGATACAATGGTCTATTGGATCAGCACTTTAATGATTTATACACGTTCGACCCGAAGGCAAATTGTTGGAATCTTGTTAAGCCTCATGGGAAGCCACCGACGCCTCGTAGACGACAAGTTGGCATTGTTAAAGGATCTCGTTTATTTCTGTTCGGTGGTACTAGGTAATTGAAAATAATATAAGTACAGGGTGAGATGAAAAACTGCAACAAAGCCAAACGCCATAATTTTAAATTTTATTGAATGAAAGCAAAAATGTTGGAAATGGCATCAAATTTTAGAATAAGTTTAGTCCCCTTTGGCACGAATTATGTCCTTCAAACGGTCCGTCACACGCTGACCGAATGTTGCTCTGCGGTATTTTGGCCCATTCCCGTTCAAGCGCTTGCTTGAGGTGATCGACACTTTGGTATTTTTTAGTGCCAACCTTGCTTTCCAAAATACTCCAGACACAATAGTCTAACGGATTGGTATCGCAATAATATTCGGCATTTATTCTAATGCCACGGTCGATTAATACGAGTGGAGAGCGACCATCGGCTGTTATGGCGGCCCACACCATCACCATTGAGTTCTGGTGGCCAACCGAAGGTGCACATTTTTTAGCTGACATCTTTGGCAAGTAAATACGATCATTTTGTTTCTTTACAAACGGCTGGACAACGAATGTTTTCTCATCGGAAACGGAGAAAACCAAATTCGACAGTTCACCACTTTCGGCCAAGCGAAGCAACTCTTTAGCTCTTTTGAGTCTATTTTCTTTATGTAGCGGTGTAAGTTCTTGCACTTTTTGGAATTTCAATGGCTGTACCCCGAGCTCATTTTTTAGTATTTGCCGAATGGAATATTGTGATATGTTCAGCTCACGAGACAATTTTCGGCCACTGCGACGCGAGTTTCAATCAAGTCGCTTCTTTACTTTTCGAACCATTTCTGCTCATGTTGCTGTTTTCTTCCGTCCACTTCCTTGACGTCGGGCTACGCTATCAGTATAACGGTAACGAGCGATGGTACGAGACACAAAAGGTTTATTCACAATTAAATGCGGGAGTGCTCTAATGATAACCACTTGTGGTTTTCAGCCAAATATAAAGAAATCACAATATCACGCTTGAATTCCGTCACGAATAAAATTTTGTTGTGGAAAATTCTCACCAAAACGCTTTTATACGCTTGTAAACAATATAATGAGGTGTCACTTGAATAATTTTAACAGCTGTCGTACGAGTGGCTTTGAAATAACAGTAGTCTGAAGTTTGTTGCAGTTTTTTCATCTCACCTTGTAATAAAATATTTTTCTGGGATTTATTACATTACGTATTTCCACGACGTTGGCGCCACAAAGGTTAAATTGTAAAACAAATGTATTTTATTTATTTATTTTTCAATTTATAACCCTCCACAGTAACATTGTTTTTATTTGATTGGTCCAGGGAAATGGGCTATTTATTTTTGTACATTATCATACACTATTTCATAACTTAAAATTAATAAAAATATAATAATTTCACACCTTTTAGTCCTTATCCTCACGCAACGGCTCAGGAACAAGCATTCCTCATTGACAATAATGACACAAATGTTTTGGATTTTGAACCAACTTTGAAAACATTAGCAATACTGGCAGTAGTTGAACATCGAATAGATACCACATGGCTGCCCAGAGAGTTAAGGTAAAACATGCGAACTCTAACCAATTCTAATTAATTTTTTAATTATTTAATTTTATTTCTTAATTTTTAGACTGGAAATTAAGGCCATGACACAGCCAAATTCCATAAGCCGACCCATCAATCATGCTGGTTGAACAAAATGATAATTCAGTCATCGCACATTTCTATTTTAAATATAAAAGTGTAGAAAGTAGTGTGGGGGCGTCCCATAATCCATTGAACAAAAAATGAAGGCAATCGTTTTAGGAAAGTGTAAAAAGTATTAAGTATCCAAATTTTATAAGAAAAAAAAGGAAAACAATGTATAGAATCAAGGACGTAATTTCGTACTTTTACTAAACGATTTACCTAAGACAACATTTCCCATGTTTATTATGTATGGTGGATATACCCTTTGCAAAAAACAAATTTCCAATAAGTCTGGTCACACATCGTTAAAATAGCGCAATTACACACAAAATAAAACACGGTAGCTACTAGTTAAAAGTATAAAAATTGTTTTGAGAAACTTGCAAACTGCCAACAATACAATTGTTTCTTTTGATATCTGTTTTATAAGTTTTTTTTTTAATTTCATATATCATTTAATAGATTCTTTATTTATTTTCTCTCTAACGTGTAAAGTTTGCAAACGAAAAGTATTTTAGAAATTAAAAACAACTTGTTTTATTAAATCTTTTTTTTTTTTTTTTTTCTATGAAAAAAATTCAATATATGTACAATACTTTTTAAATAAATCTGTGAGATACAATAAATCTCGATTCAAAAATAAAATTTTTCTTGCAATTACAGCTTACATCTCAAATAGTTCGATTTGGGCTTTGTAAAACGTAAGGAAGGAAATCCCCTTCGAAGGTAAAAGATTATAACAAAATTCGAATTGTTTTAGAAAAAACATCCGAACTTTTTATTGGATACTTGAAACAATTTATGCTAATTATTAAAGTATGCTGTCTTCTTGTCCTAACAGACCTACGATTAGGATTAAAAAAAATGAATAAATTATATATACTACTGTATAGAGTATATATTATATATAGGGCAAGAAAAGATTATGGCGTGAATTCACATCCTGCGTCACGCCATTAAATTGGTCTTGCTTAAACCCATTGAATATACAGGGTAAGATGAAAAAAATGCAACCATCTTCAGATTGCTGTCATTTCTAAGCCACTCGTCTAACAGCTATTAAAATGATTCCAGTGACAGCTCATTATATTGTTTACAAGCATACAAAAGCATTTTGGTGAAATTTTTCCAGAAAAAAGTTATTTGTGATGGAATTCAAGCGTGATAGTGTGTTGCGTGCGTACCGCGATTGCGAAAGATTAATTTTCTGTATTATCGGCTGAGCGAGAATTTACATTTGTAATTACCGCTCCAGCCGATCTTGAAAAAATGAATGAACCGGATACGGTTGGGTGTCAAGGTGCTGCCAATGTTCCTCTTAGTACATGGTACTAAGATCATATGCAACCATGGGTAACGATAGGGCTCGCTAAGTGCGATCAAAGAGGAAGAGAATAAACAAGGGAGAACAAAAAAAAGGAAAAGTGGGAAGATTGCGTCCAATGGCTGCCGTATAAAAGGGGTAACGGACAGAAAAATTCGCCATTAAAGTTTTGGTAAACGGGCAAGGAAAAATTTTTCTAAGCTAAAATTTAAAAAAGTGATCCCATAAAAACACCAAGATAGTGGAATTAAAGTTTTCGTAATTTTTTTATTTTTATTTGCCGATTGTTGTGTATGTGTGGGTGTGACCAAAATTTCGTAAGTTTCTGTTGTTCTAATAGTGTATGTCTTTTTGGTGTTTCGATGTTGTGTTTTTTCTTTTAAGATAACACCCCAACAAAAGACGGCTAGATATCTGACCCCTCCAAGTTTTCGGTGGAGGAGGTCAGCAAATTTTTTATATAAACGCAAGAGAAGCGCTGCTGCCCAGAAAGTCCGTGAGTGAGGCCAAGCCCCGGTCCGCCAAAGTACCGGTATTCAAACAGTGGTCGGCTCGGTAGGTCTGATGCCGAAAAGGTCAAAAAGATCATCAATATCTGGAAAGAAAAGAAAATATATAAGTACAGAATCTCCAGGTAATAATTTGTATTATTAAAACTTACCGAGTCCTGAACGGTTGGTGCGGCCAAGCGGCATATATATATATCTTCCTCCTGCGGCCTGGAAAAAAAGAAGAGAATTTTGATTAATGATTAATTTGAATGAAAAATGGAATGACACCAAAATTTTATACTGACTAGTTTAATTTAATGTAATTGTCTGTAGTTTAAGTGTGATTGTCCTTAGTGTATAGAATTTAGGTTAAGATTTTTATATTGTGAAAATTTCTAACGCCCGGTTATATACCTGAGCGTAGGGTTAGACCGTCATACGAAGGGAGAATTCCAGTTTATTGGTAATTTTGGACATAAGGTAACGTCCATAATACCCCCTTAACAGAGCTCTATTAGGGAGGGAGTAGATGCAAAAAGTGGTCAGATTGGCAAAAATTTTTATGTACTCTTCGTAGACTGTAGTAGCCCGAGCAATTGGCTCACATAAAGACAGATTCAGGTGTTAGGAATTTTAAATTCAACATTGTGCAAATATTTAATTGTTAGGATTAAGTCAACTCTCGATATGTCAATAAATTGTTTATATGTGTAAATGTTAATAGTCGATATGATGTGCTAATTTGTAAACTCTTGGGGGAATATAGGGTGTAAATTGCGTGGTAAGTGTTAGTGGAATGCGGGGCCCTTAAGATATTTAACGATTATTGGACATAAGGGTCAAGGTTGGGTGGGCCAAGTGTGGGTGCAATTTCCACCAAGCACCCTTGTCACCGGTGTATGCAGTGTTTGTATTTTTGTTTGTTTTGATGTTGTAATATGTCCCCTTTTTTTTAATTGTTAGGTCCCTTGGACTGTTGGTGTCAGGGTTGGAACCGACCCTGAGCAAAAAGCTCCCCTGAGCAGCTGGATACACACCACAGTACCGCATAAGGTGGTAACCATAACAATATGGCGCCCAAACTGAAACGATAATAATCGAAATATCCAGTGCAATAACACCGAGGCACTGTTCAATAGACCATTTAAGAAAATAGATTAAAAAACGAATATCGCATTTTTCTTGCATAGCGAATATCGCAACCACAACTTCGTGATCGAAGTCGTGTTAAATGTGCAATATTAGCTGTAAGTCTGAGAAAAATTAGGATATTCGTTTCCAAATCGAATGGGTCAAGTGCAATAGCTCTTGTTCGTCTACTGTAACAAATGATGTATTGTGTGATGACCTGTACTGTTTACGTTTTTGTTTGTATTTAGAGTAGATTAAATAGTCTGTAGTAGACATAAGGGAATAAGTGCAATAGCCTCTGGGACGAAGTGAGTCGCAAGAGCATTGTATTTTATTACTCTAAATACGAGATCTTTTTCCTTCGCAAGAATTAGGAAATTGCCGTAATGTCTATTTACATGTAATATGTTTTGTCCACTTGTTTAAATCCACGTCTTACAATACACCGTGACAACCTAAAAGGACACTTTTCGTAAAAAAGCTTAAAATTATATAAATCAAAACCACACACTTGCCAGACAATTGAAAACACATCCTATTACCTCATATTTTGAAGAAAGTAATATTGTTGTAATATCTGTCTAGTTCTGTTCAGTTTAAAATATATACATATACATTCTTTTTATTTTTAGTTGATATTTTTTTTTTTTGTTCATTCGTATTTATGTTATTTATGTTTGTGTTATCATAAGTTCTTATTGTGTTGTGTTTGAATTGTTTTTTTTATGTTATTATTATTTTTACTTATTGATAGATTTCTATATTTATTTTTAAATTTTGTGTTTTTTTTTGATAAATAGATACTAGTTAAATTTCCGTTTTCTGTTTTAAATTTACTGATATTGTCCTTCCATTTACGGTTCGCATTTAAATAGATATTTAATTTTTGATATTGTGTTTTCTGAATTTTATGCATTTTTGATCATTCTAATGAGTGAATATACATCAGGGAAAAGACAAAGTAAAAGAAATAGAGTTTTAGCGTTTGATAGTAGCAGGTTTCTGACTCAAACACCAAAGCCGAAGAATAAAAAGAAAAGAGGTGAAGAAACAATGGAAAATAGAGATAGTACTGTTCGAGATCTGTCCGGGACTATTAATAACCCCAATAATTTGCCTAACTCTGGTATCCAAAGGCCATTGAGCATGCAACCTGATCAAGTAAATCCGCCTAACGAGATGGATCAGCTCATAAGGGGGATGGTCCAAGAGAGTGTAAGTGACGCTCGCAATAGTATAAGGTCATTAGTTCAGGAGAGCGTAAGTCAGGAAATGGGGAAAGTACATGCTGCGATACAACATTTGAATGAAGTAATCGCCAGGTTATCTATAGATAGACCCCCGACGGATCAAACCCAGGTACCCCACGTTCCTCCACCCACTACTCAGCCTCCACCCACTACTCAACCTCCACCTATCAACACCGAATACCAGACACACTCAAATCGTCATGCCACTGTAACACCGTCAATTTATAGACTGGGACCCAATATGGGAATAAGAATTGAAAGATTCGGATTGAATTTTTCGGGAAGGCCGAATAGTTTGTCGGTCGAAGATTTCATCTATAGGTTGGAATATTTCCAGAGACATTACCGTTTAGCCTGGGATGAGATTTTAAATGAATTTCATATTCTTTTGTCAGGACCAGCCTATGAATGGTTTTGGCTCCAGCAAAGAAATTCAAACATAGCTGATTGGGAATCACTCAAATACGGGTTAACGGAAAGATTTAAGACTAGGCGGACATGTTTCGAGGCTATGAGGGATTTATTGGAACGGAAACAAATGCCGGGAGAATCAATCGATTCATTCTTCCATGATGTGAATTTGATGCGTTCTAAACTAGAGAAGCCTGTATCAGAATACGAAATGATTTCTCTAGTAAAGAAAAATTTACGGAAAAATCTTTCTAGCATAGTTTATGCGTTGCCAGTGAATTCTGTGGAACAGTTGAGGATTGAATGTTTAGAAATAGAACGTACGTTCTTCAAAAAAGATAGCGTAGCACCACCACCAACACAATTTCCGCCCGTAAATAGACCTATTCGGGTTAGTGCTTTGCAGGAAGAGGAGTTAGAATTGAATAGGGTTGAAGAAATAGATGAAGTGGTAGAAGTTGCAGCTTTTACGAGCAACCCAATTCTCTGTTGGAACTGCCAAAAACCAGGCCACGGTTTTAGAGACTGTCCTGCAACACAAGGGGGTTTGTTTTGCTTTAAATGTGGCAGACCAAACACAATAACCCCTAAATGCTCGAACTGCGCTTCGGAAAACTCCCGGAAGAACATGGTTGCGACGGGAAACCATCGTTCCACCGAGCCCTCCAAGATAGTAAACCCGCCAATAAATTAGATTCAGATTCGGGAAATACTCAGGATTATACCTCACGAAGACATTATTTACCCTTAGAATCTAGGCAACAAAACTACGAAAATGTTAAAGCAAGAATTTTCGGTGAAAGCAATAGCGAGAACCCGAATCCGACTAAAAATACTAGCAAGAAAGAAAAAAGTAAAATAAGAATTATGAAATTAAGAAAATATCAAAAGGAAAACCGAATGAGGAAAAGGATTATATGTGATGCAATTGAGCGTTTTCAAGAGACTAAAGATCCTAGGCCTTACGTTAGCGTTAAAATCGAAGGAAAAGAGGTTAAAGGGCTTTTAGATTCAGGTGCAACTGTTAGCCTATTAGGAAAACAGTGCCGTGAAATCGCCG